AATCAGATATCTGTGGGCGTCCTTCGAAGTCAGAGTGCATCTGCCTGAGAGGCAAGGAACCAACAATTTGCATACAAATAAGTCAGATCTGTAAAATAGATGTGCATGCAACACTAAGGTTCTGGAAATAGATTATAAAGTCCAGAGGTGTATGAACAGCCAGAGTTTAAGGCCGGTGAAGTAAAGCAGAAAAAGAAGAAAAAGTATCCAATGCTATTAAGTTTATCTGTCACACTCCCTGTTGCAAGAAGTATCTAATATGTTTTATGTCAACAAAAGTTTTAAAAAAACTATCACATAATGTTATGCTCGATATCATAAGCTGCAAAAGTATCAAGTATGTAAGTGTAATGTCATATACAGAGGCAATCCTGATATATGTAAGTGAATCCCGAACAGTTAATCTGAGCAGTGAAAAAGTTATGTGGAAGTGACAGCAATGTGATTTTAAGGCAAAGGATGAGAACACTAAACTACATCAAGAGATAACAGATCAGTTGTTTGAACATGTATCAAGACTACTACCAGACACAGAGAGCCCTGTCAGACATAATGGAAGTGGAACTAGAGTTCGACCATGCAAATTATGGATAGATATAATAACTGAGGCCGTAAATGCAGGTCTATGTAGCACATGCCAAGACACACACCCGATGCCTCTTTAAAATCTGATGCTGAAAGGCAGACGAGAGAAGAAAAAGAAGATACAAACATTAAAAGATAGATAAAAAGTGTACTGCAGCTGATAAGAAAAAAGTTAATGCATTAAGAAAACTGTTTTACCCAAATCCAAGGGAGACAGTCTACATTATTTGGTGAAACATAAGAAGGAGAAAACTGTAGTATATTATGACAGTGGAAAATTTAAAGGAGAAATGGAGCAGAAGGAGACTGAAACAGAAAGTGCAGAAGAGCCTGTCATTAAGACATGGATAATCATCTGTGTCAGACATGACTAAATGTACAGAAGACAGAAGGCTGTCAGTAGGCATGACTACAAATGCTAGAGGACTTGAGACTATATGAAGATGAAGAAAAAAGTCATACCTCTCTGTAAAAAATATACCTCAACAATCACTAGATTCATGAGAAATACGATATAGTTTGATCAAACAATGAGAACACCACAGAAAGATAAAGGGATAATGAAGAGGCATTGGAAAAACAAAAGTTAACTCACAAAGACAGTGGTTCCCAATTAGCTAAGCTTCTTATATCTGAAGGTCACCCACAGACCCCATACTTTTTAACCCTTTTGCCCTGGTGACCTAGGGAGAAAAAAAAAAAAAACCAAACACTTATCTTTACTGAATTCCCAGAAAAAAAAAATTTGCTTTGAAAAAAAAAAACAATTTTACAATGGTCACAAAAATTGTCATTTCATTCCATCTGTGTAAACAGTCAACTAAAGGGCAACTTTTCATGCCAATGGTAAATCAGGCTGACTGACTGACTTTCTACCCCACCAGGACATCACACAAGCGATAAACACCCGATAACACAAGTGCCGCCATGTGGGTGAGGATCACCATGGAGAGGTCCCAGAAACCGCATTCAGCCTTAAGGCCATATTTATGGCCAGGCTATATTGCGGCCCCTGGCAAAAGCCAGAGTAGGGCTTCAAATAACGAAAAATTGCATCCTCAAAAGGACGGGAAGTATCTTGGTAAATCAGGCATACTGTGCTAGACTCATATTTGAATACACCAGTCGGCCCCGGGCCAGTGAAGCGGTTCACATCCATTTTAGGCTGGATCGGCCCCGGGCCAGTGAAGCGGTTCACATCCATTTTAGGCTGGATCGGCCCTGGGCCAGTGAAGCAGTTCACATCCACTTTAGGCTGGATCGGCCCTGGGCCAGTGAAGCGGTTCACATCCACTTTAGGCTGGATCGGCCCTGGGCCAGTGAAGCGGTTCACATCAATTTTAGGCTGGATCGGCCCCGGGCCAATGAAGCGGTTCACATCCACTTTAGGCTGGATCAGCCTGGAGCCAAGGTCATTTTTGACAAATAAATTAGACTCCATGCAAATATGAACACAGGATCTTTTGGATGGAGCCGGAGAGACTAACCCCTATGCCTTCACACCTACCAATTCCGTTTATGGACAATACAATATTAATTTCCATAAAGAAATGGAGGAGCAATCAGTACACCTGACTGCAGTAGAGCACTGACTGATTTACCTCTCTTTAACTATACAAATAATTTATATAGTGACTCACATTTCACCCAATAAACCGTTCGTCTGGAAACCTCTGTGGTTAATGAGAAATTAAACCACAATTTCTTTTCTGAAAGCAATCAGTTCACAAGGACAACCCCCCCCCCCCCCCCCCCAATGCTATTTTTAGTAAATATAATAAATTCTGATCCTCCTAAACATTTGGAGAAATGCAAACAACACCCAGTGCCATAAGCTTTACTTCTTGTAAACAAGCCACTATAGCAAGTCTGTAAAGCGACTATAAAGGGGTAACGGGCCCAATCAGAAGTGTTAGTTTTGCAGCTTCTCAAGGCAACAGAATTTATAGTAATTGTGAATAATTTGTTATAATTTATAAATATAAAGAATAGCTTCCTATGTACCCACTTCAAAACTTGTATCATTTATTTCCTGCTTATACACACTTTTAAATGTTAGTAGATATCCACCTCAATCTATATCCAGGTTGTAGAGTTTGGTATTCCTCGTGTGGATTCCAGGGCCCCATTGTATTGGGAAAAAGAACAGACTCACTGACCCCTATATTAAGCTTGTCAAAAGAGGAGACAAATTATGGTTTTTTCCTTCAAAGTCGGAGTTGTTCTGTGTGAGAGGTGAGGAACCAACAGTCTGCATACAAAAAAAGCCAGACCTGTTGAACAAATGCGCAAGTCTCAAGTTCTAGAACAAGTTCAAAGTTCAGAAGTGGACAACCAATCAGAACCTTCCGCTGGAGTTTACAGCCAGTAAAAACACTAAGAAGAAGAAGAAATAGTTAGGTATTAATGACATGGTAGTAATTTATTACCCCCCCCCCCCCCCCCCCCCCCCCCCCCCTCTCACCCTCACAGTGAGACCCCGGGCCAGAATCCACATGCAAATACAAAATAAAAATAATTATAAAAGTAAAGAAATCAGAACTGGAAATGTGAGTGTGTAAGATTGTGTACACATGATGTATGTATTATATTCTATAATGTATATTTTTATTCTATATCTATAACATGCATTTTAGATAACAGGCATTGGTACTCTGTAAAACGAGTGCTTAGCAGGGCCGAATGTCAGACGGGTTATAAACCCTAATCTCCTCCAAGGTGCGACTCTCATACCATTGTCTGAAAGCCGGGTTTTCAAGGAAATAATAGTGGACACTGTAATTAAATCTGTGCAAAGCTGCATGATTATGTACTTCTCTTCTTTATTCATTACAAAATTAATTCAGATTCAAAAGTGGCAACAACCTTTTCTCCCAATGTTAAAGAAATAAACGAACATCTAAATATATCACAGATGTCCCATAAGTTTCTATACGCAGGAACAATGAACTTGTTACCAACGCCGTTACAAGCATTTTTCCAGTTGTGCTTATATATGTTCTTCAGCCCTCTTTTTCTGAAAGGAGGGTGGGGGGGGGGGGGGGGGGAATTTGGGACACTGTTGTTTGGTTCAAGAGTACAGGTGTTTCAGATATTTCATGGGGCTGCTGCTTTGTGCTCTGTTTTCACAGGTAATGAGCCATTTTGCACACAGACCAAACAATACGAGATAAAACTCAGTAAAATGAAGTAGATCCTTTAGCCTCTAACCCTTCTGCCCCAGGAACACGAAAATAATTAGGTCATGGCCCTGTTCAAATTCCAGAAAACAAACCTGTTTTAAAAACAAATCTGCACAGGTCACTAATATATTTATTGCCAGTGAACTTATATACCAGATGATGTGATTATTAACATATCCACGCATGAGTATGAGCACCAAGAAAGAGATTATAAACACCATTTTCAAACCAACACTATGTTACCTGTAACAAACTTGGACATTATCACAGGTTAACCTGTGTAAAATTAACACATGTGAAATGAGATGCCTGAGAAAAGCCGCCAACGTAACCATCCGAGAGAAGGTCAGAAAGGATATTATTAGACAGACTGTGGGAACAACATCATGGGCCAAATTCATTAAGAAACAAGATTAAAAAGATTGGTCATCTTGTCAGAATGAAGCCAAAACAACTAGATATGAACAGATCTAAGCAAGAGGTTGTCCAAGGAAAATATTGATTTATGACACTAAAGACCTTCTACATAGATAGAGAGTGTCAACAGCCATTGCCATCTACTGTTCCTTCTAATGGTGTCTAATGGCAAACATGGAAACTGATAATGATGATCAATTAAAGTAAAGGAGAAGAAGAAGGAGAAGAAAAAGGAGGAGGAGGAGAAGAAGAAGAAGAAGAAGGAGGAGGAGAGCAGCAGCAACAATAGAAGAAGAAAAAGAAGAGGAAGAGGAGGAGGAGGGGGAAGAGGAAGAAGAGGAGGAAGAAGAACAAGAAGAAGAGGAGGAGGAGGAGACAAAGAAGAAGAAATAGAAGAAATATAAGAAGAAGAAGAGGAGGAGGAGGAGATGAAGAAGAAGAAGAAGAAGAAGAAGAAGAAGAAGAAGAAGAAGAAGAAGAAGAAGAAGAAGAAGAAGAAGAAGAAATAGAAGAAGAAGAAGAAGCAGCAGCAGCAGGAGGTGGTGGAGGAGGAGGAGGAGGAGAAGAAGAAGAAAAACAAACAATCATTAAAATGTAACAGTTTTCAGGAGAAAATAATAAGCCAACAGTGTGGGTCTATAAGTTGAGAAAATAAAATAAATAAAAACGTGTATTAATGATGCAGAATGATAAACCCACACCAGAAGCAAAATAACTGCATAGAAAGACATTACAAAATATAATAATAATAATATTAATAATAATAATAATAATAATAATCAATTTAAAATATTTATATCAGAAAAATTAACGCACCTCTTCAGATTTGAGCAGTCTTGCATACAGCAGAGCTTGCTCCTCATAATATTCGCCGTCAATGATTGCACAGTCGCGGTGGTTGTGGCTGCTGCTGCTGCTGCTGCTGTTGATGACCTTGAGACTACTGGTTCGTCTCATCATGACACCTTCTGTCTGGGTCGACTGCTGAATCACGTGTGATGGCGACGACCTCTTCTGGTGCCTCTGAGAAATTTTTCGTTTAGCCGTTATTGTCAAATCATGGGGCCCTACTCCTGGAAACAAAGCAAAATTTCATGCTGGGAAAAAAAAGAAGTATAGAGGTATTCTTCAAAAAAAAAGAAATATTAAAAGGCAAGAAATAAAGCAAAAGTAATACAATTAATTCTTAGTTAATCAACAGATTATCCTGACTGCAGATCATACAAATCAATAAGCGCTCGGATCCTATCTTCAGTGTATTTCATCAGCATGTGGTGACTGATAACACCAGTTCTGTGTTGGTTTATCATCCTTATTTGGCTGCCTATAATGAATATTCATGTCTGGTGACACCTATTTTGACCTGAAATTCTTAAAGTCTACTGAATATTGCTGACTTAACATCATCTCCTGAATCATCTACTTGTCCTGCTCACTAAACAGCACTGAGAACATTGGCCCAGTCCATTACTTGTCCTGCCCACTAGAGAGCACTGAGAACATTGGCCCAGTCCATTGCTTGTCCTGCCCACTAGATAGCACTGAGATCATTGGCCCAGTCCATTGCTTGTCCTGCCCACTAGATAGCACTGAGATCATTGGCCCAGTCCATTGCTTGTCCTGCCCACTAGATAGCACTGAGATCATTGGCCCAGTCCATTGCTTGTCCTGCCCACTAGATAGCACTGAGATCATTGGCCCAGTCCATTGCTTGTCCTGCCCACTAGATAGCACTGAGAACATTGGCCCAGTCCATTACTTGTCATGCCCACTAAACAGCACTGAGATCATTGGCCCAGTCCATTGCTTGTCCTGCCCACTAGATAGCACTGAGAACATTGGCCCAATCCACTACTTGTCCTGCCCACTAAACAGCACTGAGATCATTGGCCCAGTCCATTGCTTGTCCTGCCCACTAAACAGCACTGAGATCATTGGCCCAGTCCATTACTTGTCCTGCCCACTAAACAGCACTGAGATCATTGGCCCAGTCCATTGCTTGTCCTGCCCACTAGATAGCACTGAGAACATTGGCTCAGTCCATTGCTTGTCCTGTACCTTCAGTGGCAAGCTAATTTTTATCCAACACCAGCATCTTTTGCTCACTTCATTCACTGGAGTTTTATTTTTCTCCCACTGATCCAGTGATTCTATAATACAAATAAATTACATTTGATTTATTGTTTTTATTTGTTGATAAAAAAAACAAGTTAATAAAAGCAAATTGTAAGAAAAAAATGAAGTCTCCTACAATTAGAAAGTACTTGAGGGGGTATATTCAAGAGAGATACTGCCAAGAGCCCAATCATTAATGAGTACTCCGGGAGGTGCAGTCAAGGCTCCAGTCATTAGTGAACACTCAAGGAGGTACAATCAAGGCTTCAGTCATTAGTGACAACTCAAGAGAGGTAAATCAAGGCTACAGTCATTAGTAAGAAAATAGGTACAATCAAGACTCCAGTCATAAGTGAGAACTAAGAGAGGTACTATCAAGGCTCCGGTCATTAGTGAGAAATCAGAGAGGTATAATCAAGGCTCCAGTCATCAGTGAGAATTCAAGAGAGGTACAATTAAGGCTACAGTCATTAGTGAGAACTCAAGGAGGTACAATCAAGGCTCCAGTCATCAGTGAGAACTCAAGGAGGTACAATTAAGGCTCAAGTCATTAGTGAGAACTCAAGAGAGGTACAATCAAGGCTCCAGTCATTAGTGAGAACTAAAGAGAGGTAAATCAAGGCTACAGTCATTAGTGAGAACTCAGAGAGGTACAATCAAGACTCCAGTCATAAGTGAGAACTCAGAGAAGTACAATCAAGGCTCCAGTCATTAGTGAGAAATCAGAGAGGTACAATCAAGGCTCCAGTCATCAGTGAGAACTCAAGAGAGGTACAATTAAGGCTCCAGTCATTAGTGAGAACTCAAGGAGGTACAATCAAGGCTTCAATCATTAGTGAGAACTCAAGGAGGTACAACCAAGGCTCCAGTCATTAGTGAGAACTCAGAGAGGTTCAACCAAGGCTCCAGTCATTAGTGAGAATTCAAGAGAGGTACAATCAAGGCTCCAGTCATTAGTGAGAACTCAAGAAAGGTTCAATTAAGGCTCCAGTCATTAGTAAGAACTCAAGAGAGGTACAATCAAGGCTCCAGTCATTAGTAAGAACTCAGAGAGGTACAATCGAGGCTCCGGTCATTAGTGAGAACTCAGGAATAATCAAGGCTCCTGTCATTAGTAAGAACTCAAGAGAGGTACAATCAAGGCTCCAGTCATCAGTGAGAACTCAAGAGAGGTACAATTAAGGCTCCAGTCATTAGTGAGAACTCAAGAGAGGTACAATCGAGGCTCCAGTCATTAGTAAGAACTCAGAGAGGTACAACCAAGGCTCCGGTCATTAGTTAGAACTCAAGAGAGGTACAATCAAGGCTCCAGTCATTAGTGAGAACTCAAGAGAGGTACAATTAAGGGTCAAGTCATTAGTGAGAACTCAGAGAGGTACAATCAAGGCTCCAGTCATTAGTGTGAACTCAAAAGAAGTACAATCAAGGCTCCAGTCATAAGTGAGAACTCAGAGAGGTACAACCAAGGCTCCAGTCATTAGTGAGAACTCAAGAGGGGTACAATCAAGGCTCCTGTCATTAGTGAGAACTCAAGAGAGGTACAATCAAGGCTCCAGTCATTAGTGAGAACTCAAGAAAGGTACAATTAAGGCTCCAGTCATTAGTGAGAACTCAGGAGAGGTACAATTAAGGCTCCAGTCATTAGTGAGAATTCAGAGAAGTACAATCAAGGCTCCAGTCATTAGTGAACACTCAAGGAGGTACAATCAAGGCTCCAGTCATTAGTGAACACTCAAGGAGGTAAATCAAGACTACAGTCATTAGTGAGAACTCAGAGAGGTACAAACAAGACTCCAGTCATAAGTGAGAACTCAGAGAAGTACAATCAAGGCTGCAGTCATTAGTGAGAAATCAGAGAGGTACAATCAAGGCTCCAGTCATCAGTGAGAACTCAAGAGAGGTACAATTAAGGCTCCAGTCATTAGTGAGAACTCAAGGAGGTACAATCAAGGCTTCAGTCATTAGTGAGAACTCAAGGAGGTACAACCAAGGCTCCAGTCATTAGTGAGAACTCAGAGAGGTTCAACCAAGGCTCCAGTCATTAGTGAGAATTCAAGAGAGGTACAATCAAGGCTCCAGTCATTAGTGAGAACTCAAGGAGGTACAATTAAGGCTACAGTCATTAGTGAGAACTCAGAGAGGTACAATCAAGGCTCTGGCCATTAGTGAGAGCTCATAAAGGTACAATCAAGGCTCTGGCCATTAGTAAGAACTCAGAGAGGTACAATCAAGGCTCCAGTCATTAGTGAGGAACTCAGGTACAATCAAGGCTCCGGTCATTAGTGAGAACTCAGGTACAATCAAGGCTCCGGTCATTAGTGAGAACTCAGGTGCAATCAAGGCTCCGGTCATTAAAGAGAACTCAGAGAGGTACAATCAAGGCTCTAATCATTATGAGAAATTCTAGAGGTACAACCGTGGCTCCAATAATTAGTGAGAACTCAGAGAGGTACAATTAAGGCTGAATTCATTAAAGAGTACTTAAATAGAGGATGAATCAAGTCTTCAACCATTAGAGAGAAACAATCAATACTCTAATCATTAGTGAGAACACAGAGCAGTACAATCAAGGCTCTAAATAGTAGTGAGAACTCTGAGAAGTTTAATTAGATCACCAATCATTTGTGAGAATTCAGAGAAATTAATTAAGTCTTCAGTGAGTAGTCAGAGGCGTAATTAAGTCTCCAAAAAGTGGTGATACCTCATAGAGAGACAAACTGAGGCTCAAATAATTAGTGAGAATTCAAAGCGATATGATCAAGCCTCCTACCATTAGACATAGATTCTGTCCGCTTGCTGCCCTTACTTCTGCACTCCATCACCACTAGGTCCTTGCAGTGTTTGTGTGCGTTAATTCCACAATCTGTAAGAACAACATAAGAACATAACACTTCCGCTGTTGTCAGTACAATGTTAAGAAATTACAAAGAAGGTAAATGCAGTTTAGAATATCATTCCTTCCTGAGTTCTAGACAGAAAAATTGTAAGCTCTCAAGACCCATACTGGTGGGTGGGGTGAGGCCAAAAGAGGGGCGGGCCTCTTAGGTTTAGACAGGTCAAAACCAGATTAGGGCAGACACAATCTGGCTGTCTCGCAGGCACACTGTGGACACTGCAAAAGGTGATAGACCCAACAGAAATGGTTGAAATTCATTGCCTTATCATTCTATTTTTTTTCAAAAAGGGGGAAGGTGGAGGGGGGAAGGGGAGGGAGGGGGGGGGGGGGGGGCAGCATCTCCTTAATGGAGCTTGTACATTCTCAATTTGATTCTGGAAAACATCTTCTAAAGTATTCATCTCGTGCACCACTGTCTGAATACCAGGCAAAAGGTCCAAGGTGTCCACCATGAAACAGAAGCTTGATATAAACTATGGTGGAAAGTTGTGGTTGTTTGTCCACCTCTGGGCATTTATCTTTTTCCAGAATCTGAGCATTGCCTGCACATCCGTTTTACTTGTATGCAGACTGTTGGTTCCCTGCCTCTTATGACATGCTTGTTGGGAAGGCAGAGGGTCTATTCTTGTTTTCCCATTAAATAACGCGACGCAATAAGACTTTTGAAGAGTGTTAGTATTATCCTAGTCCATCTGAAAAGATAGCCTCTTCGGATTCTTCCACATTCTCCATTATCATATCTATTCTATTCATGCTGTTGTTCACATATAAGGCATTCACAAGTAATTTTCCTTTGCTTGCCATCTGCTGCTGTTCTATGTTCCCCATGTCATTTTACATTCCTCCACTTCCACTTCTACTATTCATCTCTGTGTTTCCATGGGCCGTAAAGTCTCCACCATTGTCACATACACACTTTCATTAACCTTTTCATCCCAGAAACTTTTGGGGAAACTAATGAACCTGTAAATTCCTGAAAAAAATACCTACAAGTAAAACCATTTTACTCAAGTCACTGATCAATTTTGTTATAATTTTATTTATGCACCTTTACACATAAAAAAAATTTTTTTTTTAATTTCTTTATATAGAAATATTTGAAGGAGAGTAATTAGTAAATACAACAAGTCTTAAACAATGTATAAGTTGAGGCATATCATGACACCGTCACCTCGTCTGTTGGATGCTGAGACTAAAGGCATCATCGCTTTAAAAAACCACACTATTTCTTCACAATAACCCCCACACCGCCCCCGCTCCCTTTCCCCCATATATGCTATTTTTTAAGTAAATATAATGGTACCCAGCCCTCTCAAACACTGCGCAGAGCAAAAATAACAAAAACTGTTCATGTTAACTAGACTTGTCGAGGACAGGCCAATGCAACAATGACAGTTTAGCAACTTTCCCAGGGATTACTAATGGATGACGATACCAGATTAGCGGCTTCGGAGTGTGAAAGGGTTATTGTTTTACATCCATTTTTATCTTGACTGGTCTCCGTCTCATTTTCCAGGAACAACGTCTCTCATCATTGCTCTTTTACTAAAATTATTCAGATTCCTTACACTTGTTTTTGCATTTTTCAGTGTTTAGGTTTTATAGTTTTTGTGCTCTTCATCATTCTTCATATTCTTCTCCTCTAGTCCTGTCTGACGCCTTTCAGCATCAGGTTTTAAAGAAGCACTGGGTGAGAGCCTTGGTATGTACTGCGCAGGTGCTCATATTTACGTCATCGGATGGTCCATCTATCCATCGCTTGCATGGTCGACCTCCTGCTCTGCTTCCATTATGTGAAATCAATATTGTTAAATACTCCCTTGAACTGCAACAGGCCAGAATCAAAACCTCGCTCGTAGAAACCAAATAGAAATTGGACAGATACCTACGGAAAACAACTCTTCATAACTTTTCATAATAACTATGAATAAATTCAGCTTCCACATACCTTTACATTTCCAGCCTTGTTTAATAAGACCCCATAACTGTAATGAGAAAAACATGGATAAGATTGTTATTTTCTTTTTCTAAACTTTTAACAAGGTTCATATTTCTGGATAAATAATTAACATTGCTAGCAATATTTAATAAGACTACTGCTACTGTTACTACTACTACTGGTGCTGCTGTTACTATTGTTACTACTACTGCTGCTGCTGTTACTATTGTTACCACTACTGCTGCTGCTATTGCTATTGTTACCACTACTGCTGCTGCTATTACTATTGTTACCACTACTGCTGCTGCTATTGTTACCACTACTGCTGCTGCTATTACTATTGTTACTATTACTGCTGATGCTATTACTATTGTTACTACTGCTGCTGCTGCTATTACTATTGTTACTATTACTGCTGCTGCTATTACTATTGTTACCACTACTGCTGCTGCTGTTATTATTGTTATCACTACTGGTGCTGCTGTTAATATTGTTACTACTACTGCTGCTGTTACTATTGTTACTACTACTGGTGCTGCTGTTACTATTGTTACTACTACTGCTGCTGCTATTACTATTGTTACTACTACTGCTGCTGCTATTACTATTGTTACTACTGCTGCTGCTGCTATTACTATTGTTACTACTGCTGCTGCTGCTATTATTATTGTTACTACTGCTGCTGCTATTACTTTTATTACTACTACTGCTGCTGTTATTACTATTGTTACTACTACTGTCGCTGCTATTACTATTGTTACAACTACTGCTGCTGCTATTACTATTGTTACTACTACTGCTGCTGCTATTACTACTGTTACTACTGCTGCTGCTATTACTATTGTTACTACTACTGCTGCTGCTGCTATTACTAATGTTACTAATTTTACTACTGCTGCTGCTATTACTACTGTTACTAGTGCTGCTACTATTACTTCCATTACCACTGCTGCTGCTGCTTTTTCTACTGTTACTACTACTACTGCTGCCACTATTTTTACTGTTAATACTACTGCTGCTGCTATTTCTACTGTTACTATTACTGCTGCTGCCATTTCTACGGTTACACTTACTGCTGCTGCTATTTCTACTGTTACTATTACTACTGCTGCTATTTCTACTGTTACTATTACTGCTGCTGCTATTTCTACTGTTACTATTACTGCTGCTACCAGTAGTACTGTTACTACTGCTGCTGCTAATACTACTGTTACTACTTCTTTTGCTACTCCCCCTGCTGCTAGAAGTAAAGGATTGTTTCCGATGCCAATAGGCATATAGGGTACATAGTGCTAGATCTATTCTACAGACCAAACAACACTCAGTGGATAATGTGGTCAACACCATGCCAGAGATCTTTACTTCCAAACATTTTGACCTGGCAACTATTTTAGGCTGGGTTGACGTGGAAGCCGAGGTCACTTTTGAAAACATCCGACTTTTTAATATAGTGCATAATGATTTAAGGAACAAAACTTACCAAACCCGTACAGTGAATACAAAAAGTTGGTTTAAAGTAGGTTGTCTCATGGAATGCATGTTTGAAACTGTTTCTGAGGGCATGGCTGTTGGCCCGGATAAAATATGTTTTCATTTCACGTTTGCTAATCATCCCATCCCTGAAAGAACAATAAAGATTCAATCAGTAAATTAATGATCAATTACAATCTATGACAGAGAAAAAAGTCTATGCATATTCTTAACTCTTTGAGGTCCCAGCAATGCTGTGTGTTTTGATTGAGAAGTTTTGATTTGTCCTAACAACAGTGTCTGCGTCGATCATATCTCCAGTACATACTGATTCGCATACACCTCTGTTTTCATTTCTAATGTTTGGATCTACCATTAAAGTATTCAAAGAAGGTCACTCTAATGTTTTTCTTTGTATACATGTCTTTAATCGCACATCTGGGTGCAAACTGATCCTATTCACTGCTAGAGTAATTTTCAGACAGTGCATTTTCTGATTTTTGTGGATCCCCCTGTTCAAACACAAGCACAGGCCAAAAAAAAAACCTTCCTGTGACTGAAGCTCTGAACTGTTTATTCTGATAATGATAGTGAAAATTAAAATTTTTCAGGAAGTGATTCAGACGGTGATTTTACACCAGTGGCAGCTAAGCGGTCAGCTGTTTGTCCTGATGAAGGAAACCCTTGAAGACCCATTTCATTTGTGAAGGATGTGATAGTCACCCACATCTGTACCCAAAGCCCTGTTCCAGACTGTACTATACTCATACTATGCATAATCTGCATAGAAATCATTGCAGCTACAGTCTGTATATAACTGTGCAAAGTTAATATTTTGTGTACATAGGTACAATTTCCCGCCATTTTTTCTTATGAAATTTTATTCAGCACTATGTGAGAACCTGGAGCCTCTGAGTGCTAAGCTAACCCAAAAACGTCTCATAATTTTTGAATTTGTAAGGAAACCGAACAAACTTTAAAAGCAGTGTAATCAAATTTAGATATTCACTGCTCTTGTGGCTGCAAAACCATGGTAATTGACGATTTTTTAAAAACATTTTTTAATTTTGTTTTTGTAAACATAACACCTTTAAATAACTTTTTTTTCCTACTACCTATATTGTATTAAACAAAAAACATCATCAGAATAAAAATGTACATTCATTCCACTTTTTAAAAAATATATACTTTTGTAAGGACTAGAAATATATTACATTCTCAACTCCCTTCTTTTTCTTTTTTTTTAACACCATCCGCTCTGCCATTTTTGTAATGGGACTGAAGTGGATTCACAAGAACAAGATGCTTTGGATCACAGTTCAGGGAAGAGGAAATACAGGAAAGGAAGAGGGAGGTTTCAGGAGATGGGGATTGCACACAGGTTAAGAGCTGGGGATCTCAGAAGAAACATGTTAAATAAACATAATGGCAGTAATTGTCCCAAAATTGTCCTGCACATTGTGGATTATCTGGTGCCACCGGGGACCCAAGTAAACTAAATTTTAAATACCCCCCTCAATGAGGATTTCAACATATGACCACAGAGCTGGCAAACAAGCATGTTACCACTCTGCTACCATGGCTAGCTGATGTTAAATGTAAGAAAAAGGTAACAATTTTAAAATTCAAAAACAAGTAACAAAAATAACAACTCTAATCATAGGGAACAATAAAGTGAACTGTAAAAAAAAGCAACAGGTAAAACTTCTTGTTCATAGTTCACTGGCTATAAACCTGGTTTTTCGTCCACTTGACAACTTCTGGCTTTGTTCCAGGGCTTGAGTTTTGCACTCACATCCTTTTACAAATCTGGCTTAACTGTGTGCAGGTTGTCAGCAGTCCCATGTGGTAGATTTTTGCAGCATGATGCAAGTCTTCTAAAAACTTATCCAACAGTTTTGCACCGTGAGATCATAAGTTCCAACTGTATTCTGATTTTACTGCTTATAATTTCTTTTTTTTTTTTATGTTTCCTCGATTATCAACATTACTATCTAAATAAGAAAACTGATTTTACTTCAGGTGTTTCTGTCTCTAGTATTACAAGTAAAACAATGTACATGTTTTGTTGTTGTTGTTGTTGTAAAGAGTGCAGTCTTCATGCACGCAGAGGGTAGATAATCCCTGACTTACTTATCAGCATCAAGAACACAGAAGGAATCAATGAAAGGGAAGTTGCCAGCAATAGCATCAAACTCATCATGGGAGATAAATCCATCCTTGTCATGATCATAGTTTTTGAACACAGCCTGCAGAATTAGCAAAGCATTTTATAAAAACTACATGTATGTTTTTATGTGAAACAAAACAAAATTTCAGTAAAGGTGTGTGCGTGCAAGTGCGTGAATGTGAGTGCATAGGTGTGAAAATACACCAAGTGTGTGTGTGTGTGTCCATATATGTCCCTTTTCCCAGCAGTATTTAGTGTCAATCACAATTAATGTCCCTACCCACAAAGGACTACAATTTACAGAAGGTGTGCAACATGTGTGCACTAGCCCAGATGAGGTAACAAAATAAAAATGAATAGCAGGTGTATTAAGTATGTTATAAACATTGTTATGAGTGATGAATTTTCCTAGCCAATGGCATCATAAACTAGCTATTTTTTGTTTATATCTGCCAAAGAGTGTTTAACATGTGAAACATTCACACAGCTCCTTCACGTTCTCCACCCTTTTCAATCAGTTCTGTTTGAGACACAGGCAAAAGTGGTAACATCTGATCTACTCTAGTATTCCTAGCTCTGGTATATTCCTAATATTCAAGGTCAAATTATTCACACAAGCGTTCAAAATTTTATGCAATAAGTAAAAAAGGTAAACAACACTTGTCAACACCTTGAGGCATGTTGGGTATATAGGGCTAGAATTATATTTTACAGACCAATCAGTACTTGGTGGGTGATGTGGTCAGCATCACACTAGCTGCCCTTACTTCCCAGGACTGTACCCTCTCAAAGCTGAGTCAACCTGGGAGCCAAGGTCATTTCTGAAAAAAGTCCAGCTCCGCCGGGACCCAAACCCACAACCTTCTGATTTGCAGACAAAAAATATGCAGTAAACAACATCCCAAATATTTGTGTCTACCTGAAATCTTGTTTCTGACTTCTTCTTCTTCTGCGTCCGACATCAGTCATGCTAAACACTGAGTCCCGTCTGACTTAAATCTCCTAGGTGTAACTTGGCAGTGCAAAAAACAAGTCAAAAGTCATTTTCTGACTGACAAGAATAAGCCTAACAGTGTCAGTGGATGCCCTACTTACCTCCACCATGTCATGAACATGATGGTTAATAGTTTCCGAGTCAGGAGGACTAATGCCAGACAGCCAATCAGCAAACACCACAGGTTTTGTAGGTGTGGTTGGCTGGTAACAGAAGAAAAAAAGCAAAATTGTACACCACAGAAATGTTTCCGATTAACTGTTAAATTATAGCTTCATTTACAACAAAGCTGCATATCAAAGATTTTTCTGATTAATTGTCAAATTACGACTATGTTTAGTACGACACCATAAATTAAGAGATTCTTCTGAATAAATAAATCAACATTTTGATATACTTACAACAACACTGCATATCAGAGAATTGTCTGATTAAATATAAATACATATGACTAAATTTACTATTAAAGAAATGGGGAAATTAAGTGGTATTGTGGTTTTTTATGATTTTTACAAATGGTACTAAACTGCAGCTGACGGATACCTCAGCAATACAAAACTGACCAACTTTATTTACCAGAATATTTATTGATTCCTATTTAAGGCTGAGCCAATCTGAGAAACTAGAAAATATTTTATTTTATTAATCTGCCTCAGTGGGGGTTTGAACCTATGACCACCAGGCTGCCAGCACAGCATGCTAACTACTGAGTTACCACAGCTCCCAGCAATGTGTTGATTTAACCCTTTTAATACAAAACAATGTTTTATATGTGACTGGTGCTTTTCCATTAATTACAATGTGTTCGTGCACTATTAAACGTAACTATTAACTCTTAAAAGACGTATCACCAGTATACTAGAGATTAAGTTTATCCCTTAAAGACGTATTGCAAGTATACTGGATCGTGATAGAGACACTCTAATTTTGTTTCGTTTGTAGGGATAACGAGCTTTTATGAACAAGTTTTTGAACAAATAGGATTACCAATAGGAAGTCCTTTTGTTTGCGACATTCATCATGGTCTGTGCATAATTATCTGATTTTTAAAAAATTATTTAGATAGGACACAATTTTTGTGTGATTTTTCTATACTAAATGATAAGGGAAAAGGTCTAGAACTGTTCATACTGCTCTATCGATGAATCTCTGCCAGATGGTGACAACAGTCTTGATATTATGATTGATTCTAAGTGACAAATCTTCTGGCAATAATTTAGTTTAGGATATGACAATTTCACAAAATATTTTAATCAGATCAACGTTTCGATCAGCTGTTTGCCCGATTTTCAGTTGTTGTGAAATTTGACATGTCATACAAAAATTATCATCCAAAGTATTTAAATTCATTGTTTCAAATAAAGACTAGCTAATACATAATTGAACAGAGAAGGCAGGTGAATTCTTAGAATTGGATAGCAGTGTTGCTGAACAAGTAAAAAAGGAGATGTGAACCAGCGTCATTGCACATGGTTATAAACCATAAGTGCTCTGCCACCAGTACGGACAGCTGATAAAAAAACTGTCCGTCTGTGTCACCGTCCGCACGCAACTCCGGCATGCAACTCCGCAACTACAGCGACCTTCCTCCATTTACCCCAGAGTGTTAACTCTGATACCCATTACCTAAAGGCTGGGTGAACTACGGGAACCGCCCGGTTACGAACATAGGCCATGGGCTGCAGCAAGTCGCAACTGGATTTCAAAGTGAGTCTCCTATTGACTGCGCTAACGCGGCCTCCGCCTTCACAACTGGTAAACATGAAGAAGATAAAGTGTCCTTAAAGATTATCTCATGCATTTTACAGAGAGTACTTGCAGATTCTCAGATATATTTTACAGGCCATTTGTACAGATTTCTCATACATTTGTTACACACTAATTAAAGAATGTATGTTACATTTCTCTGAAACCATACATTTTTCTGAAACATTTTACAGATCATTACTTACAGATGACAAAGAACCCCTTGGCTCTCGTGCTAGAGACAGCTCATAAATCTCATCTTCTGTGTGGTATAAATCCAAGGAAAGCTGAAAATGAGACAATCAGACAATTTTCAACAACTGTAGTTAACTTTTATAGATCACTGCACCAACTACCCCTTCTATCACAGATAACTGTACCAACTCCCCCTTCTATCAGATAACTTTACCTACTTTCCCTACTATTACAGATAACTGTATAACTTTACCAACTTTCTGTACTATCACAGACAACTGCCAACTTTCCCTACTGTCACAGATAACTACCAACTTCCCTACTACCACAGAAAACTGTAACAACTTTCCCTTCTGACAAGATAACTGTACCCTCCCCCTTCTATCACAGATAACTGTACTGACTTTTCCTGCTATCATAGATAACCGTACCAACTTTCCGTTCTATCACAAATAACTGCCTATGTTCCTTACTGTCACAGAATACTGTAACAACTTTCATTTCTATCACCGATAACTGTACCAACTTTCCCCACTGTAACAGATTACAACCAACTTTCCCAACACACACACTCTCTCTGTCTGTCTGTCTGTCTGTCTGTCTGTCTGTCTGTCTGTCTGTCTGTCTGTCTGTCTGTCTGTCTGTCTGTCTGTCTGTCTGTCTGTCTGTCTGTCTGTCTGTCTGTCTGTCTGTCTGTCTGTCTGTCTGTCTGTCTGTCTGTCTGTCTGTCTGTCTGTCTGTCTGTCTGTCTGCCTGTCTGTCTGTCTGTCTGCCTCTCACTCTCTCTCTCTCTCTCTCTCTCTCTCTCTCTCTCTCTCTCTCTCTCTCTCTCTCTCTCTCTCTCTCTCTCTCTCTCTCTCTCTCTCTCTCTCTCTCTCTCTCTCTCTCTCTCTCTCTCTCTCTCTCTCTCTCCTTTTTTTTTCTAATTTAGTTTTCTCAGATTATCAGCATAAAATGTGAGTGCCACATTTATTTTACCCCTGACAGCTAAAAGTCAATTTCCTACCAGAACTGAACTTTTAAATATGACAAACCAACATCCAAACCAACAAATGAAACATCCATTATCTTTGACTTTAAAAACAACTATCACATTCTACAATGAAAACTCGAACAGAAGACCAAAAATGTACCCGCAATGTGTTAACCAAGTCCATGTTGGCATCCACTGGAATGTTTTCCTGGCCTTGTAGCCTTGTCAACTCTCTCAAGATGACTGCCAGTTGGGCCATCTTGCGGAAGTTTAGGAGGTTGCCTTCCAATCGGTCGGGAAGAGCTGTGTGGAGTGAGATCAGATCTTTGAGGTGAACTCCCCTAGTGAAGAATGAGAGAAATAAAGTTAAATCTACAGACAAAACCAACAAACAATTCAAAATGTAAAACTTTTAATTTCCTAATTTTATTTCTGGAGAACAAGAACAGTGTTGTGCAAACAGTACTCACACAAAAAGTTTTAAACTAAACAAACATGAAACTACTTTATATTAAACATTCATGGAAGAAATTTTTTACTAAACATTCACAAGAGCAACTTTATACTTAAAACAAATTACTGAAGTAAAAGGCATTTTGTTTTACAAACAAAAATACCTTGGTCAAGTACAATAAGTAACTAAATGTTCTGAAACAGGCTAAGACACAAACAAATCCAATTACTAATGAAAGGCATCATAAAAAAGAAATCAAAACATTTGGCTATGTTATTTAAAAAAAATTAAATTACTGAAACATACTTGACAACCAAACGCATTTAGGCAAACAAGGGCTAAAGAAAAATGGTGAGAGCAGATTCTTAATAACCTCTCATAAAAAAGATTCTTTCACATACCTTCAGGTGTATTCTGCATACAGGGCTAGACCTATATTTTTAAAGACCAATCGACACTTAGTAGGTTGGTAGGTAATGAGGTCAGCATCACACCGACCACCTTTACTTCCTAGGACTTTACCTGGTATCCATTTGAGGCAGGGTCAACCTGGGAGCCATCATCGTTTTTGTTTAAAGTCCAGCTTCATCACGACCTGAACCCACAACTTTCCGGTCCGCAGGTGAGTGAGTTGTGACCCTCTCATAATGGCACTAAATAATATTTGCTTATGAAGATTTAAGACTGTGCAGAAGAGCAGCAGCTCTTAATTAACTCATACAGCAAGTTCACTGTTGGCTTGTCCATGACTGGCTGTTTGCAGTTACAGTACTCTAATGGAGTGCAGCTCTACACAAGGGCGTGGCTACATGTGAAGCAAACAGAACAGCAAGACTTATTAAGAAAAAGATGGACAGAAAGGCGACTGCAGGAGATCCCCTCCCTGGCACAACGCTCATTCCCTGTCCTCACTGTCCAAGAACTTGTCGGGCCCGCATCGGCCTCATCAGTCATCTTCGTACTCATACTTGATGAAAAAGAGTGGTCATCATCATCTTGATGGACAACACACACACATTCTAATGGATGAGGTGACCAGTCTCGTGTCATTCCTCTCTAGCAATAAGGTGAAAGCTGAAAGAAGTATGTTGTTGTACTTCACTTTTCAGGGTCACCAAGGTTTCCTCAACATGGAGGTTAAGGTCACCAAATCAGCTACTCCTATTACAGAGTATGTAAGTCTTGAGAACCTCTTACCCATCTCATGGGTACCAATTCACATAGGGGACTTAACATCCAGCATTGTTTTGTCCAATATCTTATGCCCCTTCCATTCATGGCTTTTTCTGGCCAGCATTTATCTCCAGTGGCCAACCACGTGTCATATATTCTACCAGGCAAACAGAAGTGTGATTTTTATCAGAGACACATCAGTTAAGTGATTGTGTGTATTCTTGTAGGTATTTGTGGTATTGCAATATGCTGGTGAAGGTTTTCTAGCTGCAATGTTCACTTGTTTTTGCATTTGTGATATTGTGAAGCTGACTGGTTGTACTTTTCATTTTAACTGCCTTACACACATAATAATATACATAAACAAGCAATACATTGTCTTCACAGTAACTTTCTCACATAACCATACACACAAACAATCAACATACTGTCTCCACAGTAACTCTCCCACATTACCATACACACAAACAATCAACATATTGTCTCCACAGTAACTCTCCCACATAACCATACACACAAACAACCAACATATTGTCTCCACAGTAACTTTCTCACATAACCATACACAGAAACAACCAACATATTGTCTCCACAGTAACTCTCCCACATTACCATACACACAAACAACCAACATATTGTCTCCACAGTAACTTTCTCACTTAGCCATACACAGAAACAACCAACATATTGTCTCCACAGTAACTCTCCCACATAACCATACACAGAAACAACCAACATATTGTCTGCACATTAACTCTCCCACATAACCATACACAGAAAAACCAACATATTGTCTCCACAGTAACTTTCCTACATAACCATACACAGAAAAACCAACACATTGTCTTCACAGTAACTTTCTCACTTAGCCATACACAGAAACAACCAACATATTGTCTCCACATTAACTCTCCCACATAACCATACACAGAAAAACCAACATATTGTCTCCACAGTAACTTTCCTACATAACCATACACAGAAAAACCAACACATTGTCTTCACAGTAACTTTCCCACATAACCATACACAGAAACAACCAACATATTGTCTCCACAGTAACTCTCCCACATTACCATACACAGAAACAACCAACATATTGTCTCCACAGTAACTTTCTCACTTAGCCATACACAGAAACAACCAACATATTGTCTCCACATTAACTCTCCCACATAACCATACACAGAAACAACCAGCATATTGTCTCCACAGTAACTTTCTCACTTAGCCATACACAGAAACAACCAACATATTGTCTCCACAGTAACTCTCCCACATTACCATACACAGAAACAACCAACATATTGTCTCCACAGTAACTTTCTCACTTAGCCATACACAGAAACAACCAACATATTGTCTCCACATTAACTCTCCCACATAACCATACACAGAAAAAACCAACATATTGTCTCCACAGTAACTTTCTCACTTAGCCATACACAGAAACAACCAACATATTGTCTCCACATTAACTCTCCCACATAACCATAAACAGAAACAACCAGCATATTGTCTCCACAGTAACTTTCTCACTTAGCCATACACAGAAACAACCAACATATTGTCTCCACATTAACTCTCCCACATAACCATACACAGAAACAACCAACATATTGTCTCCACAGTAACTTTCTCACTTAGCCATACACAGAAACAACCAACATATTGTCTCCACATTAACTCTCCCACATAACCATACACAGAAACAACCAACATACTGTCTTCACAGTAACTCTCCCACATAACCATACACAGAAACAACCAACATATTGTCTCCACAGTAACTTTCTCACATAACCATACACAGAAACAACCAACATATTGTCTCCACAGTAACTCTCCCACATAACCATACACAGAAACAACCAACATATTGTCTCCACAGTAACTTTCTCACATAACCATACACAGAAACAACCAACATATTGTCTCCACAGTAACTCTCCCACATAACCATACACAGAAACAACCAACATATTGTCTCCACAGTAACTTTCTCACATAACCATACACAGAAACAGTCAACATATTTTCTCCACAGTAACTCTCCCACATAACCATACACAGAAACAACCAACATATTGTCTCCACAGTAACTTTCTCACTTAGCCATACACAGAAACAACCAACATATTGTCTCCACAGTAACTTTCTCACTTAGCCATACACAGAAACAACCAACATATTGTCTCCACATTAACTCTCCCACATAACCATACACAGAAACAACCAACATATTGTCTCCACAGTAACTTTCTCACTTAGCCATACACAGAAACAACCAACATATTGGCTGCACTGTAACTTTCTCACATAACCTGTCCCAACAGTGACTCTCTCACATAACCACACAATTACTCAGCTTACAGAATGGGTATCTTAAAGCCTGTACACTGGTGATACACCTTGCGATAGTTGCTAAAGTTGTTGTTTGAAGACAATAGTTCTGTTAGATCCATGAGTGTCTGTAGATGAAGTCATAAAATCTCAAAACATCAATTAACATTTTTAGTTAGTAAGTGTGTTTGTGTGTGTGCATGAAAAAAAAAGTGGGGGGGGGGGGGGGGGGGTCCATGCATATCAATATATACTTGTCCCCATGGGGGTTAAAGGCCCCTTTGTTGGGGGTGGGGGGGGGGGGAGGGGGGGGACAAGAAAAGACCTTCTAAACAAGTATGCGGTAAGAGTCGACTAAATAGGGACTTTCTTCGAAGTCGAGCTGCATCTGCCTGAGAAGCAAAAGGAACCAACAGTCTGCACACAAATAAGTTTAGCAAGCAATACTCAGGATGGAGAAAAAGACCAAACTCTAGAGGTGGAGGAAGAACCAGAGCTTTCTGCCAAAATTTACAGCCAGTGAACATAAAGAAGAAGAATATATACTTTCACTGGAACCCACAAGGAAAAACAGATGGAAGCAATTAGTTTTATCTTATTGTCTATGTGCGGTAGCTGGTCATTTTGTTATTCTGCATTCTGTTCACTGATTACAAACTGAAATGTTTAATCTTCTGTGTCTTTAACTCTTCCTCCTCTGAGCTGTCAAGTTACAATTGATGTTCTGCTAGATATTTGTTTACGTCAGTTTGATTGTTGTCACTCCCATTTATGACATCAAAGCTAAAGTAAATATGAGATGATCAACTTCACTGCACTAATTTATCTCATATAGCTCAGTCATAACTTCATTGCACTGGTTTATCTCATATGGCTCCGTCATAACTTCATTGCACTGATTTATCTCATATGGCTAGGTCATAACTTCATTTCACTGATTTATCTCATATGGCTCTGTCATAACTTCATTGCACTGATTTATCTCATATGGCTCCGTCATAACTTCATTGCACTGATTTATCTCATATGGCTAGGTCATAACTTCACTGCACTGGTTTATCTCATACGGCTTGGTCATAACTTTATTGCACTGGTTTATCTCATACGACTTGGTCATAACTTCATTGCATTGGTTTTTCTCATATGGCTTGGTCATAACTTCATTACACTGGTTTATCTCATACGGCTCGGTCATAACTTCATTGCACCAGTTTATTTCATATGGCTCGGTCATAACTTCTTTACACTGGTTTATCTCATACGGGTCGGTCATAACTTCATTGCCTTGGTTTATCTCATACGGCTCAGTCATTCTCAACAGAATGGAAAGCCACTCCCCAAGAGCATCACAAAAAACAAGCTCAGTCTAAATCCCCCAGGTATCTCTGTTAAAACTGCATTTGTGAAGTGAACAGCACATCTATGAAATGAACTTGCGACCTTCAGAGCATGTGTCAAACAGCCTGACCACTTTGCTCGAGGATCGTCACTTGGCAGAAAATATACTAATAGTACAAAAGATAAGAAATCAAGTAACTGATACAGATACTGCTGGGAATAACAAGCAGTATATTCTTACGAATTCATGCAGTGAGGTGAGAGACTGGAATGTGGTTTCACAGCAAGATCACCGCAAAGCAGACGACGGCAACATGGGGATAGAAGTAGAGGTTGTTATTGTGCCTCTGAGATGGATTTCCTAGTAGAGCTTAGTTAAGAACTGACATTACAGCACTTTTTCATTATTTTCATAGATGATCCATCCTCATCTTCAGCAGCCAGCAAAGAGTTCAAATTCTGAAGGTAAGAGTAACAGTTTGGATATGTCTCTCTTGTTTTTCCTCTGAGTGTTGAGTGTTGGCCAGATTCCTCTAGTCACCCCAGGCAGCACCATTAATTGCTTCTGCATTTTTACTTTGCTCATAAAGGGCCTTGACCACATCTAGCATGGCTTGCATCTTTTCATCACCCAGTGATGTAGCACCAACCAGACTGTCTTCTCTTCATTCTCAATAAGCTTACATGCCCGGAAGAAAAGATCAAACTAATGCTAACTAGAGGGGGGCCCTCTAAAGCAATGCTTGCCACTCTGTATGGAGCATATCTTTCTCCATCTTTTCCTGCATGCTTGTGAGCATTGAAGTCAGTTGAATGCTGCTGTGACTGTTACACCTCAATTTTCAGACTAGATGCTGCAATATCATATCTCAGGCACTAAGTGACATTGTTCCTCTTATCGCACAATCCCAACTTGTGTAAACAGAAAAAGCTCATTATAAACCCTGAGGTTACCCTGGTAAGTCACGTGACAAGCAAGAACTGCTGGCGATAAGATGAAAAATGTATCCCCCCCAAAAAAAGACATGTGATTTGTATACTTCAGTGAAATGAACTAAATTTTTCTTCTTTTGTCATATCACTGATACCAGGTTGTAGCCCAGTGTCATGGTTTTCTGTTTCTGTCTTGCGCTTCTCGTGTGGTGCGGGTGATGGATTTATGCATCTTTTTTGCAGGTTTCTGCTACACCATGTATCAGTCTCTTTCTTGGTCTTCCCCTCACCTTCCTTCCAGATGATCCGCTGTAAAAAGTCTCACATACAGTCTGGGATGGCTGCATTCTCACTAGATGGCTGAACCATTTCATTCTTTGTCAATATAATCCAGACATGGTCTTATTCCAACTTTCTCTATAATGCTAATATTTGTAACCCTGTCTCTTCTTGTATTGTTAGTGACCTTGCGGAGACAGGATATTTCAAACAAAGTTATTTCCTATTCTAGTGCCCTATTCATTGTCCATGTTTGGCACTGATAACATAAAGCAGGGATAAATATGCTATTAATCATTTGCTGTTTTATTGGAAGGGAAACATTTGGGTTTCTATGCAGTGGGGCTAACTGCTAGGTGACAGCATTTGCCATCTGTACTCTGTCTTCTATCACTCTATCAAGTCTGCTATCCTCCGTAAATATGCCTCCTAGATATTTGATTTCTTGTACTTGTTTGATTGTAGTACTGTTAACATGAATGTCATGATGTTTTCTGCATTTCCTCATTACCTCTTCATTATATGTGGATGTAACTCTGTAACACACCTGATGAGACAATGTGAAATGTCTGGCAAAACATTATGCAATGTACTGTTTGTGTTTGCAGTTGTTAAAATTCACTAAGGGAACAAACTGTATTGAAACAATACTAGCCAGAAAACCAAAATGTCAACATCACAAGTAATAGAATAAGCAATTCCAGCAGACGTTATACTTTTCACCTTACCTTCTGAGATTCTGGAGGCAAGCAAGCAATCGTTTTTGACAGTCGTGCCAAAGCACTGTGAGACAGTCCTCCAACAATGGCCATCAATGTGTTGAAATTTTGCAAGATTCGTAAATGCTAAAAATTGGAAAAAAGAAATGTGTGTGATATATGCTGTGTTTTTGTTTGGGTTTTCCCCCACAAGTCAAAGCTAAATACACACGCCAAGATTTTAACATTGCAACACATGGAAGGAAATAGGAAAGAAAATTTAGAAAAGAAAACAAAGCAAACATAAAGAGAATGCCAGAACTGGCTCACAGAAAGAATGAGGAGTCAGATAAACTAAAATGAAACCCATTAACTGTGGCGCACGATGAGGACGTGCTACAGGAGTCTTGCGTGAGGTTCCGTAAAACCAGAACAGTGCAGGACTGGCACCCGAGTGACGTACGGAGTAACTCCTTATACATATCATGTTGGACTTAACTTTACCTCACGCCTGTAACAGAAATCACCGCGCCACAGGCAAATTCTGTAACCAGGTCTTTCTTGCTCAGTTTCTTCACCTCTGCCAAACCCTGTAGTATCATAATGTAGAGGCTGATAGATTTGTTACATGTCTGTAAAATTGCATTTTGCATCTTTTAACGGTTTTAAAGAGATTCAAAGATGTCAATGTGTTGAGTGATGATAGGGCAAAAACTTCATCATTTGTAATGTGTTCTCCATATGCTACGAATGCCAAGGCCCCATTTTGGGGGAAAGAACAGACCGCTCCGCTCTTAAAAAGCATGTTAAAAACAAAGTCACTTAAATAGGAGTGTTTCCTTCAGAGTGCATCTCTCTCTGAGGCAAGGACCTAAAAGTATGCACAGAAATAAGCCAGATCCATCAAACGGATGTAAAACTCAAGTTCTGGAACAAGATAAAAGTCCAGAAGTAGATAAACAACCAGAAATTTCCGTTGGAGTTTACGGCCAGTAAACAAAAATATGAAGAAGAAGATAGCTCTAACTTCTGATAAAGATATCATTTTAAATGAAGGTAAATAACAGTGTTACTTTGCTTCCCTCATAGAGTTCCACTAACAAAAAGAAATGTAAAGACATTTTATTTTTGTAAAACAAGAATCAAAACAATGAAAATTAAATGCACAAAACTAGCATAAACCAAATACATTATAAAAGGCTTCTTCATGACGACCGGCTGTAAGTTCCAGTGGAAGGTTCTGATTGTTCGCCCATCCCTGGACTGTAGTCTTGTTCCAGAACCTCAGAGTTGTCTGCACATCTGTTTTACAGACCTAGATTATCTGTATGCAGACTGCTGGTTTCTTGCCTCTGAGGCAGATGCATTCCATCTTTGAAGAAAGGCCACAATTAATTGACCCTTATGACATGCTTGTTGGAGAGGCAGTGAGTCTTTCCTTGTTTTCCCCGCAATGGTACCCGAGAATCCACACAGGGAATAAGAAAGACACACAAAAAAAAGAATGATTTTTTTTTAAAAATTCTTCATAATTGAAAAAAAAATAAAAAGCCCAACCTTAGAGACATCAATGAACTTGCAGATAACATCAGCTCGCTGCTGAGGTGTTGTTTTACTGAGAACCATACACTGGACCCACTGAGATAAGCCGTTGAATAAAGCGATTGACCGCTCCAACTTGGGTTGGTCTTTTAGTGAGGCGGTCAAAGCGTAGTTTTTGTAATCTGAAAACTGTCAACATTTGACAATAGTCAGTAATAGTTAAAAAAAAAGCTGAAGCATTACAAATATTTAAAAGATCCTAAATTAAATAATGCGGACACAAACAATACATTGCACAATTTATTGCCAGGCTTATTTCGCTGTATCTGGTCAGGTGCGGTAGATCATGGCTACATACACAGTTCAGTGATTCTTCAAGGGTGTCGAGACCAGTCAAGAGGAAAGAACCCGCTTTTTCCATAGGAGGTCATCTACTTAATTCCGGACATGTAATTGACACAGACAGTGTTTTCCGTGTGGTTTGCCACACTCCGAACAGGAGACTGTTGAGAATGGGCGAAGCTTTATCAATTAGAATCAACAACCCCCTACTTTGTAAGCAGACAGAATTTAAATTTAAAGTTACCCTGGTAAGTCATGTGACTACAGTGAGCTTCCGGTGGCCAAAAAATACACATGATGTGTTGAAAGAAACTATTTGGATTTCAGTTGGATTTATTCAGTTTTGTGCTTCCTTTTTTGTTGATGTAACTCTGTAGTAACGCACCTGAAGAAATACAGCGAAATATGCCTGTCAATAAATTGTGCAATGTATTGTTTGTGTCCGCATTATTTAAATTCATTAGGGAAAAAAACTGTTTTGAAGATCCTAAATTGTGTTTACGTTATCACAACTGATAGCTATTTAAGTTGTTATAACATAATAATTACATTATAACAGAGCAGTACAACCTGACATGTTTAACTGTGATGGACTCAAAGAGTATGCTTCACAAAACTGAAACTGGCATCCTGTGCACAGAGCTTCATGCATCACTTGATTAGGCTCAGATCTGGAGTATATCATGAATTTTCTGCCCAAGATATTCAGCTGTGCAAGATAACAAGCAGGCTGATAGATTAGCAGCTGCTGCTCCACTGGGTGGTGAGCTACTTTTTGATAAAGTGGACCTACTAAAGGCTCTCTGAGATCAAAGTGACAGTGCAATAGAACAGACAGAGAATTCACACACCCACGAGGTTCTGGAAGATATTCAACACTGAGGGGGAAACAAAGGCGGACTTTTAATCAGGTTGCAACTGGTTCTATTAGCATGTTGACTTTTTGTTGAAGCAGGGGACGGAGGATGTGTTGGAATGTCCCAAATGCAGTGATGTCAATTCCTGATTCATTCAATCATTCATTAATTCAATCCTTCATTCATTGACTCATTCATTCGATCGCTCATTCATTCATTCATACCTGGTACCCATTTTAGACTGGATGGACCTGATGCCAAAGTCCCCCCCCCCCCCCCTTTTCAATGTGTATTTAAAATGCAATATAGTCAACAAGAAATAATAGGCAGATCTTAAACTCTTCATCCAGCAACACAACAGCACACCTCCCACCTATTCTAGAACAGCACAAAAATGTCAGGTAATGACACTTTTCCTTTACAACATTTGGATATTTAGCCATAGTCTTAACATTTCGACCACAGCCACGTAAACTTTGCAGGTGTCAGAATTAGCAACACCATAGCAAAACTGGTCTTTAGCAAAATGAAAAAGTACAAATAAAAAGATGCCAACTGCTGTGTGAAAAAGAGTGTTAAAAGTGCTACAATGGAACTACCTGTGTATTTACCTGTGTTATCACATGCATGGGAGACACGGACAAAAAGCAGACAAACGGAAAAACACCTACAGTGTGAGAAGCATGAGAAGCAAACTGGACGTACACAAAGTCTTGTTAACCAACATAGGACTGGTACTATTAACCGCACGACGCTGATGAATATGTTGAGAGGGGAATCTGAGCGCCTATAGATGTGTCCGAAGTGCTGTGAAGATAATCTAACTCATAACTCATAACACCTACTTGAAGCGGAGAGGTGAATTTTGAGAAGAATGCAAAGAATATCATAGAATGATAGAAAAATTAGATCAGGCAGTCCTCCTCGAGATAGATCACATCTGTAAACTGATAACAGAAATCTAACATTTGCAGTTTGTGCTTTTGGACATAACTATATTTTTCTGTGTATACATAAGATTATATGTTTTCTTAAATTTCTCAACCTTAAAACTAGGGTAAAACTTATCTTCTTCTTCTTCTTCGCGTTCACCAGCTGTAAACTCTGGCGGAAGGTTCTGGTTGCTCGTCTACTACTGAACTGCAGTCCTGCTCCAGAACCAGAGTGTTGCGTGTGCATCAGTTTTACAGATCTCATTCTCTTAAATACAGACTGTTGGTTCCTTGCCTCTCCGGCAGACGCACTCTTCAAAGGAAGCTCCCCAATTAGTTGACTCTTACAACATGCTTTTGGGGAGGCAGTGGGTCTATTCTTGTTTTCCCCACATTGGGGCCCCGGAACCCACACAGGGGGGTAAAACTTATAAATGGAATGTGATTAAAATATGTATTCCCTTATTCAGGGCTAAAACAAACAACAACAAAAAACACACACAAAAAGTGGTTGCCTTTTCTTCTTGTCTGTTTTCGCGGTCACCGGCTGTAAACTGTGGTAGAAAGTTCTGGTTGTTCATCCACTTCTAGATCTTAGATTTGTTTCAAAACCTGAGTTTTGCATGTAAACATTTTTTGCAGACTTTTACAAACCCAGCCTTAAGTGGGTACCAGGTACAGTACTGGGAAGTAAAGGCGGCTGACGTGATGCTGACCACATCATCCACCAAATGCCAATTAGTCTATTAAAAAAAAGGTCTAGCCCTATATGCCCAAAAGGCATGAAGGCGTGGAAAAGGGGCCTTTACATTTTATGATGTGCTTGTTATGGGCCAGTGGGTCTATTCTTTTTTTTTTTCTCTTCACAATGGACCTTAGAACCCATATGGTGGGGTATTATTATATCCAGGGTGTTCTAGACATAGAAAATAAAGTAACCTGAGAAGAAATTACCTTGGTTACAAATGGTAAGATTGAAGGGAAAAGAGCAAAGGAAAGGCAAAGAGATCAATACACTGATGAATTAGCCATATGGATTGAAGTGTGACAAAAACACTGACCTGATTTGTGATTCTGGTAATCAAGATGGTGAAATGTAAAGGCTTCAACTGTTCGGTTGGGCACATGATGATGATGATGAAATATACTTACATGAACTCTTCTAAATGCCTTGTACTCCAAATAGGTCAACTGTGCAGCCAGCTCTTTGGGCTCCAGATGGTTGAACACCAGAGAGACTTTCCTGGAATGCTTCCCAAAGGGGGCAGTTCTCACCGACATATTCCGCATCCAGTCATAAGATGGGCTAATAAAAGAAAACATACAATTTATCATCCCCTTCTACTATTTCATGCGGCGTCCGTGGCTAAGGCGTTGCTAGTCTGACTCCTAATCCAACGTACCGCGATCGAAACCTGAGTGGGCTGCGTGGATTTTTATCGTGATATGGGACGTCGCAGGTCGACCCACACTCAAATGGGTACCAGGATGGGCTGTCCTGGGGAAGTAAAGACGGCCGGTGTAATGCTGACCACATTACCCACCGAGTGCCGATTGGTCTGTAAAAATATGGGTGCTCTTCCCATATGCCCGATGCGCCTAAGGGCGTGTAAAGGGATCTTTACTTTACTTTACTTTTCTACTATTTCATCATCATCATCATGTAGCAGGTCCTCTGCAGAACGTCGCTCTCATCACAGTCTGCCTGTAAGGAACTTGGTCTCTTGCCAGTTCTCCCGCTTCATGAACTTTCACACTCAAGGAGTCACTTATATCCTGTACCAATCTTCGTGTCGGTCGGCCCCTGCCCCTCCTTCCTGGTACCATGCCTTCTGCTATAATTTTTTCCAATCCGTCGTGGCGCTTAATATGACCAAAATATTTCAGCTTTCAAGAAAGGATGCTGTTTATTAGCCAATCTTCTTTGATGTTCAGATCTTTTAAGATGTCAATATTTCTCATCTTCTTTGTAAAAGTTATTCTGAGAATCTTTCTATAGCATTTCAGCTCAAAAGCCCCTATAAGCCCCTACTATTTCACCGAGTTCTAATCGTCTACTACCTTGTTCTGAAGGTGTGGCCAAAAGTTTACGACCACTTATAAATAACGGATTTTTCTCCTTACACTTCTTTTATAGAGTACTGCATCCACTGCTATTTTAGGGCTCACTGAAGGCAATCATTGCAGTCAACATTTTGCATTAAAATAGCAGCTGATGCAACACTCAATAACACTGTGAAAATATACCTAATTTATCAGGAGGTCTTAAACAAACCTGGCTGTCACACCCAAAAAATTACAATAAATGATGAAAAAATTGAAAATGTCACAAATGTGAACTGGGTATGGCCTGTGCTTTACTGAAACATAAAGCAGTGGAAAGGCAAGGGGAGGGGGGAGATAAAGAAAAAGAAGAAACTGATGAGGAGCAGAAGGTTATCATGATGATGATTATGACTATTATCACTAGTATTATTATTATTTGTTTTTACAACTAGTGCTGCTGTTGCTGCTGCTACTACTACTACAATTATTATTATTATTATGACTATTTTGATACCCTAGACCAGCGGTTGTCAAACTGTGGGTCGTAACCCTTTTCTGGGTCGGATGACCCTTTCACAGGGGTCATCTAAGACCACTGGAAAACACATATTCTGGGTCGAATGACCCTTTCACAGGGGTCATCTAAGACCATTGGAAAACACATATTCATTAAAGTTGTGGAGTAGCAACCAAAATAATTGTATGGCTGGGGGGTCACTGCAACATGAGGAACTGTATTAAAGTATCAGAGCATTATGAAGGTAGAAAACCACTGCCTTAAACAGGCAGACTAACACCCTGACCGCCTGGAAGACATTATTGAAATGGTAGAAAACCACTGCCTTAAACAGGCAGACTAACACCCTGACCGCCTGGAAGACATTATTGAAATGGTAGAAAACCACTGCCTTAAACAGGCAGACTAACACCCTGACCGCCTGGAAGACATTATTGAAATGGTAGAAAACCACTGCCTTAAACAGACAGACTAACACACTGACCGCCTGGAAGACATTATTGAAATGGTAGAAAACCACTGCCTTAAACAGGCAGACTAACACACTGACCGCCTGGAAGACATTATTGAAATGGTAGAAAACCACTGCCTTAAACAGGCAGACTAACACCCTGACCGCCTGGAAGACATTTTTGAAATGGTAGAAAACCACTGACTTAAACAGACAGACTAACACACTGACCGCCTGGAAGACATTATTGAAATGGTAGAAAACCACTGCCTTAAACAGGCAGACTAACACACTGACCGCCTGGAAGACATTATTGAAATGGTAGAAAACCACTGCCTTAAACAGACAGACTAACACACTGACCGCCTGGAAGACATTATTGAAATGGTAGAAAACCACTGCCTTAAACAGACAGACTAACACACTGACCGCCTGGAAGACATTATTGAAATGAGAAAACTATTTACAACCTTAAAAAATAAAATGGCAGTCAGTGCTCTTTGGTCATGTGATGAGAAGAGAAGCAATGAGAATGCATGACGACTGGAAAGATAAACAAATGGTAGAAGAGGCAGGGGCAGACCAACAGTGATGATGTTTAACGGCCTGAACTGATGGCATAATGAAAAATATCATCACTGGAAATGATTCAAAATACAAAGGACCGAGATCTGTGGAGAAGTAGGGAACATGATGATAATGATGATGATGATCACTATTATGATGATAACAATTATGGTTATAATTTTTTTTTTGGTATTAAGATTCTGATAATAATAGTGGTGGTTGTTTTGGTGTGGTGGTGACAATTATACGACAACAATGAAACAATCAGGCGGTTACTGGTACTATCGGAATTGGAACTCTTTGCTTGCTGCTGAAGATGGGGACTAGGCTGTTGATTATTAATTCACCATTAAGCATTCAATGCTGATAACAATGACTGTGATGATAATGATGGCTGTGGTGGTAGTGGTGAGGATGATGACAGTTGTGATGATAGCGAAGATAATGATGATGAAGATGAACCTGTACACCAGAACTTTCATGGACATACTCCAGCTGATCTTACATTGCCTAGGCACACATACCTCTGACACTCATATCTGTACAGGCTATCTCAGTTCTACCAAACTAAGTACAGAATGGTTTCAACACTCACACTTTTGAGACATCCACTAGTTCTTTCAGCTTGTAGTTACCCTCAGCCTGCAGCAAGGTGCTCAGTCTCGTGACGGCTGCTGTCACTTTGGTATCCATGTCAAAATGCAACGGGAACTTGCAAATCCAATACCTGAGTGAGAAGCCATTGCAAAAATAACATGAAACCTGTAGATATCTCTGTCAAGTGTACTGTTTTGATGGCAGCACTACGTAGTAACATTTGTTAAGAAGTACAACACAGTAATATTATCTCTTGATCGCCCTGCCTCTCTTTCTCGCCATCATCGCATACTCCAATGGCCTCCTTCTGTTAATGAAACCAATTAAGATAAATTGCAAACTGCTTCCAACTAATGTGGCTAATCAGTTCTCTTGTGAGTTATTTGATGTCAAGACATCTTCATTTACTTTTTTTTTTATTAAATCCTTTCCATAGTGTTCTCGCATTATTTTTTACGTGTGCAACAATACACACGGGCGTCCAATCTTACTACCCAGAGACCCGGGGAAATTACTAGAAGTCTATGTGAAAACTAAGTCGATGCAAACGCTTTGTAATGCTGGGATGCCCGGTTCGATCCCAGCTGCGGGCCATGCGCCTTGCGTTGGTTTTGACAGTGGTATCAAGAAAGCTGACCGTCCAGAAAGCAATGGCAAACTACTGGTCGTAAATTGCCTAGAAAAACCGCACAAAAGCGAGGGGCTGTTGGGGTTGGTTCTGCAACGTCCTGTAAAGGATACGCTACTAACTAACCTATGTGAAAAAATCCCAGCCTTGCCCAGGGCCTGACCTCGAGACCTGAAGCACTCTAGGCGGACGCCATGCTTCGACACCACTCAGCAGTGCATAATATGTCCCACAAGCAAGGCCATTAGCTATTTCGGTCCTTTTTTCAAAGCCGACCACAAATGACGTCTCGGAACAGTCCAATATTGTAGAGGGTGGTCAGAGCGGCTTTTCCGTGTTTTCTGTGCTTTCGCGCGTTTCTTCCAAGGTCAAGGTTTTGCACACAGAGATCACACACACACACACACAAAACTGCAAAACCTCATCCTCCTCCCCAGCAAAACTGCATCCTCCTCCCCAGCAAAACCTCATCCTCCTCCCCAGCAAAACCTCATCCTCCTCCCCCAACAAAACTGCCCCCCCCCCTCCCCAACAAAACTGCATCCCCTCCCCAACAAAACTGCCTCCCCTCCCCAACAAAACTGCCTCCCCCTCCCTAACAAAACTGCCTCCCCTCCCCAACAAAACTGCCTCCCCCTCCCTAACAAAACTGCCTCCCCTTCCCAACAAAACTGCCTCCCCCTCCCCAACAAAACTGCATCCCCCTCCCCAACAAAACTGCATCCCCCTCCCCAACAAAACTGCATCCCCCTCCCCAACAAAACTGCATCCCCCTCCCCAACAAAACTGCCTCCCCTTCCCAACAAAACTGCCTCCCCCTCCCCAACAAAACTGCATCCCCCTCCCCAACAAAACTGCATCCCCCTCCCCAACAAAACTGCATCCCCATCCCCAACAAAATTGCATCCTTCGCTCCAGCACACACAAAAAACTAAACTTCATCCTCTGTATTGCAAATAGAGTCCACAACATACGCACAAATGCGCGCGCGCACGCACGCACGCACGCGCACACACACACACACACACACACACACACACACGAAACTAAAAACTGCACAGCAAATGAAATTCCAGATTACACAACTATGTGCTTAATCTACCAACTCCCAAAATATTGGACTGTCCCGTGACATGTGAATTTTCCCTGTTTGTAGTCTGCTAATAAAAAAAGAGCCGCTAATTCATCAAATACCTCCCTCATTTATCTACCTACCTATCTATCTATTCAGAAAGATATTGGAAATATTTCTCATTTAACTTCTAATTAACCGATTTATCTATAAACAGACCACCCTTCCAACTTCAGCCTTGTTGACAAAATTACGTCACCGCGACCGGGGTTATTTCTATTTCACAGTAGGGAAATATACATCAAGTTACGCCGACTAATTACGTTTTCCCCAGGACCAGACTCAGACGGGAGGACAACAGAACAGCTCCATTCGAGCCTGTAAATAAACCCGGGTTATTTTAGAATCAAAAACAAGATAAAAATAGAACCTAGAACAAGACGGGTCAGACGCTGGACATGGTCGATTCTAGATTGTCTGGTATCGAATCTATCTGAGCAGTTTGATTCATCTGACCAAAAAACAACAGAGTTGGTCGACTATCGTAGTCGTTGTTATCATAGTCAAAATGTGTGTATCTGGTGTGTGGTGGGGCAAATGGTGGCTTCTGGCTAGTGGATCTATTTATTATCTTTTATTATCTGTGTTGTAGATGCTTTTGAGGTGTGAGTTTCAGTACTTTAATTTTGTACGACCACATCTCATCGGCTGCGAGATTTGGTAGGGACATATCCAGAACGTCCCACAGTATTGTGGGGGAGAGGAGGGGGGGGGGGGGGTTAGGCTTATAAGTAGTCGCTTTTTATTTAACACTAGCCCTAAACACCCCCCCCCCCTTTTTTTTTTTTTACAATATGATACTGTCCAGGGAAACCCCTAGCGATCCCTAGGTATTCCCTACGAAATCTTGAAGCCAACGAAATGTGGTAGTATAAAATAAAACTACATGAGTTTCGCTCTGTCTCTCTAACACAGCAAATGCTCTTTCCATCTATCCATCCATCCTACCAACCACACTATCAACCACCTAGCAGTTATGGAAAAAACCATCTCTCTGATTGCTGTCAAAGTGGAACACCCATCATGTTGAATGTTAAATAAAGAATCGACATCTTATCACTCGAGACACTCCCATAAGCGCTCCGTCGCCATCTTCAGCAGCACGCGACCTGTTTTAAGTCGGATGGCACCATTAGCTGTCTGTATACCCGTCTCGCCTTTCCCCTGAGTGTCGAGCGTCGGCCAGATTCTCTGGTAACTCCTCGCAGTGCTTTTTTCCTCAGACCGTAATGATCTTTTTGTGCCTGCGCACGGTTCACTTGCTCCTAAAGGTCCCTCACAACATCTAACTTGTCATACACCAATTCACCACCAAGTGGCACAGAACCGGCCAGGCTATTTGCCTGCTCGTTGCCCAACACGCCGGCATTACCTGGAAAATATATCAAAAGGACGCTACCTGGGACCTCTAAAGCGATACTTGCCACTCCACTCTGCACGGAGCATGCCTCTCTTTACCTTTCTAAACATGCGCTGAGAGTTGGTTACAGTTACGACATGTGTGTACAGCTGATTACCAAGCCAGTGGAATGCAGCAGTGACTGCCTCTACCTCTACTCTAGACGTTGTGATATCATATGCCAGGCTTTGCTGCCCTAGGCGACGTCCATTCGCTTTTGCTATGAACCCCCATGCACTTCGTCTGCCTCTCAAGACAGTGTCATCTGTATATATATATATATGCACATCATCTGGAAGAGGATTGTCATGAATCATTTACTGAACTTCTGATTCCACAGCACAAACTGGCCAGTCCTTGCACTCACGACCTAAAGTGATTAGCAACTCTACACAAATTTGATTCTTGCTCGGACACTTTGACACACTACTCTCCTCGCCCAAATTTATCAGCTTACATGTCTAATTGCGACTTCAGCTCACACCATCTAATCTTCCTCTTTTCAGTCTATGACCCTTAGTCCTACCTAGGGTTTCATGCAGAAGGTGCTTCTTGACTGCAGCTACTCTGAGATATGGGGTATCTCATATACATCCCAGAATTCCCCACAAGGCTTCATTCTGTAGGCGTTCAAGTTTCATCAGCTAACTCTGATACATACAGGAACTCTGTTAACAGCCTTCCTTGCTCCATGGCCACTGCTTATATAATCTTGAGGAAAGCACTGCAGTTTTAATACTTCGACGTACACAATGATGCATTTCTTCTTCAGCGTTTGCTCAAAAAAAAAAAGGTCAGTTGGCATGTTGTGTTGTGGTTTACATTTAGGCTGTGATGACTGAGCCTTTGGTCGAACCTATATGATTCCCAAAAAAAACATAATTAGTCGCCTTTTACGACATGCTTTTTATGAGTAGTGGTATTGCAGCTCTCTCTCTCTCTCTCTCTCTCTCTCTCTCTCTCTCTCTCTCTCTCTCTCTCTCTCTCTCTCTCTCTCTCTCTCTCTCTCTCTCAACAGGGCCAGGGCCCCAAACGGGGAAGACAATGTACAAACGACACAGACAGGACGCTCTCACCTGACAGCCTGGCAGATCATCTTCTTGAAGTTTTGAACGGCACAGTCTGTGTTGATAGGCAGGTGTTGGCACGCCACCATTGAACACGTGATGGTTTCATCGCAGCCTTGATATCTGCGGCCAGAGTTAAGGAGTCGCTGCAAATGCTTGCATATCCATGGGGACCCAGCCATATAAAGTACAGAGCCAGGTTTTATCTTCTTCTACCCTTCATTCCCCCCAGTGGAGCATAGGCCTTCACCCTACTTCTTCGCTTCTTCTTCTTCTTCTTCTTCTTCTTTACGTTTACCGGATGCAAACTCAGGAGGAAAGTTCTGCTTGTTCGTCCACTTCTAGACTTTGGTCTTACTAAGAGTTAGGCCTGTTCGAGATAGTACGGATCTAGGCATTTTGTTTCTCAGATACATTAGGGATATCAAGGCAGTAAGAATTTAAGAATTGTGTATGTCTGAGATTGTAGAGATCTAGAATCAGATCTGTACGTGACAGTGACGATCTCGAGGTAAAATAAAAGGATTCCTGAACTTTGTCTGTGCAAGACTGTAAACATCCAAGAATTATGTCTGTCCTAGACTGTCAGGATCTAAGAATTATGTATGTCCAAGACTTTCAGGATCTCACAATTATATCTGTCTGAGAGTGTTGGGATCTAAGAATTATGTCTGTCCGAGACTGTCAGGATGTAAGAATTATGTCTGTACAAGACATTAGGGATCTAAGAATTGTATCTGTCCGAGACAGCAAGGATCTACGAATTATTTTTTGTTCCAAACTGTAAGAAGACGACAAAACTGTAGAAGATGATGGGAAACATCCTAAAATAACAACCAGAATGACGTTTATTACTGTCAGAAATGATTTGGACATAACAGGATTAGGTCTTCACTAGAAAAATATACATTTACATAAAAAGTATGTACCATACGGTAGGTTAGTAGGTTAGGATGGTACTGACAGCTCTGGAGGCCAAGTCAACAATCACTGTCCACAAGTCCACTGACATCTCTGGAGGCCAAGTCAACAATCACTGTCCACAAGTCCACTGACATCTCTGGAGGCCAAGTCAACAATCATTGTCCACAAGTCCACTGACATCTCTGGAGGCCAAGTCAACAATCACTGTCCACAAGTCCATTGACATCTCTAGAGGCCAAGTCAACAATCAGTCCACAAGTCCACTGACATCTCTGGAGGCCAAGTCAACAATCATTGTCCACAAGTCCACTGACATCTCTGGAGGCCAAGTCAACAATCACTGTCCACAAGTCCATTGACATCTCTGGAGGCCAAGTCAACAATCACTGTCCACAAGTCCACTGACATCTCTAGAGGCCAAGTCAACAATCACTGTCCACAAGTCCACTGACATCTCTGGAGGCCAAGTCAACAATCATTGTCCACAAGTCCACTGACATCTCTGGAGGCCAAGTCAACAATCATTGTCCACAAGTCCATTGACATCTCTGGAGGCCAAGTCAACAATCACTGTCCACAAGTCCACTGACATCTCTAGAGGCCAAGTCAACAATCACTGTCCACAAGTCCACTGACATCTCTAGAGGCCAAGTCAACAATCACTGTCCACAAGACCATCAGGTGTATCCAGTATACAGCATGCAATGAGTAGAATCATCAGTGAGCACCTCACTCATGCCTATGATTCAGTATTTGGGTCTACGTGAGACTGATCACCTGTCAGTTGTTGCTTGATGATCGCCATCAGCTCGTGTCCTCAACCCAGGAACTCTGTGAATGCTACCAACCAACTGCCACTAATAAAAGGATGGAAGAATGTACTTTAATAAGCTTTATTGTGAAAAAGGGAACCTTCTGCCTTGTGTGAATTATTAACATTAAATGCCGTCAGCATGAGTAATCTATTGACTTTAATAAATTATTCAAGACTGGCAGAACTCCAACCATCCACACCGTCAACCTTGGGAAGATGCTGCCCTCCAGATGATCAGGACCTCCTTGACTGATAAGTAGCTGTAACTAGAGAATACGAGCCACCATCTAACATTAAGCTACTTCAGAGTGTCTTTGATTACTATGGGAAACCCTGATGAAGACATGCGACAGACGCGTCATGTGATGGCGTAAATAAAAAATGATCACTTGGACAGAATAGGCTTAAGTCGTATGCATGTATGTACGCCACGGTAGGTTAGTTACTAGAAGCTCGGTTACCGGTCCAAAGATCTTGGGTTCTAATCTACATATATGTGAATTATGTGTCTTCAAAACTGACCCTGGATCCCAGGTCAGCCTAGCATTAAACGGGTAATAGGTAATGGTCTGAAAAGTAAATGCGGCCTGCCTTATTTTGACCCATCACCCACACAGTGCCGATTTTTCTATCAAAATATAAGTCAAGCACCATATGCCTAGGCCGTTAATGGCATAAAAGGAGTTATTAATATTACCCCTCCCCCCCCCCTCCCCTTTCCACTACAGTTGTTTCCGAGGCGCTATTTTGTGAGAAAAAGAACTGATCCACCCCCCCCCCCCTTTTTCCCACCAGAAAGCATGTCGTAAAAGTCGACTATACAGAGGCGTTTGCTTCGGAATGGGAGTGCCTCTACCAGAGTGGTGAGGAACCAACTGTAGACCAGATCTGAAAACGGATGTGGGTGCAAATCCCAAGTTCTTGAACAAGATCAAAGTCCAGAAGTAGACGAACAACCAGAACTTTCCGCTGGAATTTACAGCTGGTAAACACAAAAGAAGAAAAATTTACAATTCTTACTATTACGAAATGAAGAAGCCAAGGTGAAGTGGCTAGACGCTCGCATCTGGCCCAAAGGTAACAGGTTCAAATCCGCATTAAGCATGATTTTTTTTTCTTCAAAAACGACCTTCCCTCTCAGCCTTGAGTGGGCATCAGATCCGCTCCTCAGAAGCAAAGGTGACCGGCGTGATGTTGGCCACACCACCCACCAAGTGCTGACTGGTCTAGCCCTAAACACCTGATGTCGTGGCAAGAGGTCCTTTACTCTACAGCAGTGGGACAGAAGGAAAACTCACCAGGATACTAGCGGAACTCGTAGGATCGTTTGCAAGGATACAGATCGATAAAGGCTTGAGCCAGCTCCTCGGAGGTCATAAACCACTGGTGCATCAGGAAGAAGACGGTGACGAACTCCTCCTGGTTCCTGTCCAAGCCTTTGTCAGCTATAGGATGGGGGAGTAAATGATGAGTAAATGATGAGTAAATTATGAGTAAAAGATTAGTAAATGATGATCTTTCACATACTGTATGTTTGTTGTGATCTGATTTCGCATGTGTTGTATGTTTGTAGTTATTTGATCTCTCGTGTGTTTTATGTTTGTTGTGATTTCTTCTTCTTCTTCGCGTTCACCAGCTGTACACTCTGGCGGAAAGTTCTGGTTGCTCGTCCACTACTGAACTGCAGTCCTGCTCCAGAACCTGAGTGTTGTGTGTGCATCAGTTTTACAGATCTCATTCTCTTGAATACAGACTGTTGGTTCCTTGCCTCTCCGGCAGATGCACTCCGACTTCAAAGGAAGCTCCCTAATTAGTCGACTCTTACGACATGCTTTTGGGGAGGCAGTGGGTCTATTCTTGTTTTCCCCTACAATGGGGCCCCGGAACCCACACGGGGATGTTGTGATTTCATCTTTCAGGTGTTGTATGTTCGTCGTGATTTGATTTCGCAGGTGTTGTATGTTTATAGATATTTGATTTCTAGTGTGTGGTATGTGTGTTGTGTTTTGATCTCTTATGTGTTGCATGTTTGTTGTGATTTGATCTCTCGGGTGTTGTATGTTTGTTGTGATTTGATTTCGCTGGTGTTGTATGATTGTAGTTATTTGATCTTTCGCTTGTGTCGTATGTTTGTTGTAATTTGATATCGCAGGTGTTGAAAATCTTTCAATTTTCTTCTTCTTCTCACTCTCCTCCGCCTTGTACCTCTGTTAAGTGTCCGGGGGTGGTGGGTGGGGGGGGGGGGTGTAATGTTCGTTGATGAGCTCTGTCAAGACTGATGTTCATTTCTGTAAGGCTGTTCTTAATGCCATCACTCCATATTTTACGAGGTCTTCCACGCGCTCTATACCCGTTGTAACGTTTTAGTGTGGCTCGCTGTAGTAGATAGTACCAGGGCATTCTTGTTAGATGTCCAAACGACTTAATTTGTTGTTCTTTGATGACCTGTAAGACTGGTTTTTTACCCCGCATTCGTCTAATTTCGGGATTTCGTATTCTGTTTTTTCTTGAAACTCTTGCAGCTCTTCTAAGGCATTTAATCTCTGTTGTCACAATTTTACGTTCATTGAAGGATGTAAGTGTCTATGTTTGACACTGACAACATAGTGTTGGCCAAAAAACAATTATGATAAGATTCACTTTTGTACTCCGGGGTATCTGCGTGTGTGTCAACAGAGGAAGTAGTTGCCCCAGTACTTGATTAGCTTTGGAACATCTCGGGTTAATTTCTCTGTCCGGTTTTCCAACGGATGTGAAAATTTATCCCAAATACTTGAATTCCTTTGTCCTAATGCGTTTTAAAACACTGTCTCCCATATAATATTGTGCTGCGATATCTCACGGTGTTCCGTGTTTGTTATTTATTGCACGTCTGTCATTTGAAAATCTTTCCATGTGTCCCATGTCTGCTGTGTGCGTGCGTGTGTGTGTGTGCGTGCGTGTGTGTGTGTGTGTGTGTGTGTGTGTGTGTGTGTGTGTACAGTAGTGTGTTCGCTGTTACACGTGTAGTAACTACAGCACTGTGCGACTGTCCTTGTTTGCAGATCTTGTGCGCTTCTGCATGTCTGCTCCTATTTGTAGATCTTTCCGTTTTGTTATACTGTCGCTGTTTGACCATTGTTAGCAATGCATGGATTGTGTTTATGATCTGCACAGATTGACTGTTTGTAACTGCAGAAAACTTATACATGTGTACTGTCTGTTCATAATTATGTTGTGGTAGATGAATACTAAATTACAGGACTGTATTCAAGATACCAACATCAACAACAACAAAAATTAATGAGCAAGAATTAACGAGTAGCAGAAGCAGAATCAACAAGAACTATAACAGCAGGGGTAGTAGTAATAGTCGTAGTAGCAGCAGTGTTTACAATAGTAGTAGTAGTAGTAGTAGTAGTAGTAGTAGTAGTAGTAGTAGTAGTAGTAGTAGTAGTAGTAGTAGTAGTAGTAGTAGTAGTAGTAGTAGTAGTAGTAGTAGTAGTTAGTAGTAATAGTAGTAGTTGTTGTTAGTAGTAGTAGTTGTTAGTAGTAGTAGTAGTAGCAGCAGCAGCAGCAGTAGTAGTAGTAGTAGTAGTAGTAGTAGTAGTAGTAGTAGTAGTAGTAGTAGTAGTAGTAGTAGTAGTAGTAGTAGTAGTAGTAGTAGTAGTAGTAGTAATAGCAGTAGTAGCAGCAATGTTTACAGTAGTAGTAGTAGTAGTAGTAGTAGTAGTAGTAGTAGTAGTAGTAGTAGTAGTAGTAGTAGTAGTAGTAATGACAGGGGTAGCAGTAGTAGTAATAGTAGTAGTAGTAGTAGTAGTAGTAGTAGTAGTAGTAGTAGTAGTAGTAGTAGTAGTAGTAGTAGTAGTAGTAGTAGTAGTAGTAGTAGCAGCAGCAGTGGTAGTAGTATTAGCAGAAGTAGTAGTAGTAGTAGTAGCAGCAGTCGTAGTAGTATTAGCAGCAGCAGCAGAAGTAGTAGTAGTAGTAGTAGTAGCGGTGGTAGCAGCAGGGGTAGAAGTAGTAGTAGTAGTAGTAGTAGTAGTAGTAGTAGTAGTAGTAGTAGTAGTAGTAGTAGTAGTAGTAGTAGTAGTAGTAGTAGTAGTAGAAATAGTAGTAGTAGTAGTAGTAGTAGTAGTAGTAGTAGTAGTAGTAGAAGTAGTAGCAGTAGTAGAAGTAATAGCAGCAGCAGCAGCAGTAGTAGTAGTAGTCATAGTTGTTGTTGTTGTTGTTGTTATAGTTGTTTTAGTAGTAGAATTAGAAGCAGTAGTAGCAACAGTAGTAGTAGTAGTAGTAGTAGTAGTAGTAGTAGTAGTAGTAGTAGTAGTAGTAGTAGTAGTAGTAGTAGTAGTAGTAGTAGTTAGTAGTAATAGTAGTAGTAGTTGTTAGTAGTAGTAGCAGTAGTAGTAGTAGTAGTAGTAGTAGTAGTAGTAGTAGTAGTAGTAGTAGTAGTAGTAGTAGTAGTAGTAGTAGTAGTAATAATAATAGCAGTAGTAGCAGCAGTGTTTACAGTAGTAGTAGTAGTAGTAGTAGTAGTAGTAGTAGTAGTAGTAGTAGTAGTAGTAGTAGTAGTAGTAGTAGTAGTAGGAGTAGTAGTAGTAGTAGTAGTAGTAGTAGTAGTAGTAGTAGTAGTAGTAGTAGTAGTAGTAGTAGTAGTAGTAGTAATAATAGCAGTAGTAGCAGCAGTGTTTACAGTAGTAGTAGTAGTAGTAGTAGTAGTAGTTAGTAGTAGTAGTAGTAGCAGCAGCAGTAGCAGTAATAGTTGTTGCTGTTGTTGTTGTAATAACAGCAGTAGCTGTAGTAGCTATTGTAGTAGTAGCAGTAGTAGTAGTAGCAGGCGTAGTTTTAGTAGTAGTAGTAGTAGTAGTAGTAGTAGTAGTAGTAGTAGTAGTAGTAGTAGTAGTAGTAGTAGTAGTAGTAGTAGTAGTAGTAGTAGTAGTAGTAGTAGTAGTAGTAGTAGTAGTAATGACATGGGTAGTAGTAGTAGTAGTAGTAGTAGTAGTAGTAGTAGTAGTAGTAGTAGTAGTAGTAGTAGTAGTAGTAGTAGTAGTAGTAGTAGTAGTAGTAGTAGTAGTAGTAGTAGTAGTAGTAGTAGTAGTAGTAATAGTAGTATAGTAGTAGTAGCAGCAGCAGCAGTGGTAGTAGTATTAGCAGCAGCAGCAGAAGTAGTAGTAGTAGTAGTAATAGTAGTAGTAGCAGCAGTCGTAGTAGTATTAGCAGCAGCAGCAGAAGTAGTAGTAGTAGTAGTAGTAGCGTTGGTAGCAGCAGGGGTAGAAGTAGTAGTAGTAGTAGTAGTAGTAGTAGTAGTAGTAGTAGTAGTAGTAGTAGTAGTAGTAGTAGTAGTAGTAGTAGTAGTAGAAGAAGTAGTAGTAGTAGTAGTAGAAGTAGTAGTAGTAGCAGTAGTAGAAGCAGCAGCAGCAGCAGTAGTAGTAGTAGTATTAGTAGTAGTCATAGTTGTTGTTGTTGTTATAGTTGTTTTAGTAGTAGAATTAGAAGCAGTAGTAGTAGTAGTAGTAGTAGTAGTAGCAGCAGCAGCAGCAGCAGCAGCAGTAGTTGTAGTAGTATTAGTAGTAGTAGTGGTAGTAGCGGCAAAAGGTAGCAGTAGTAGTAGCAGCAGCAGCCTTAGTAGCAACAGTAGTTGTAACAGTAGTAAAGAGAGCAGCTGCAACAGTAATAGTCGCCGTAATAGAAGCAACAGAAATAGCAGTAGCAATCGCAGCAGTAATTGGTAGGAAGGCGGACTTACTGAATGCCTCCACGCACATCTGAATCAATCTCTCGGGTGTGGCCGCCCTGACCGTGACCCCTGCGGTGCTGGTCGTCAGTGCCGCCCCTGCCAGCACTACCGCTGAGGTCCTTTGCTCATCTTCAGTGAGTCCTGGGGGTCCCATGGGCGCAGGGGGCGGAACGGGTTGGCAGGGGGCGGCAGCAGGTGCGGGCGGGGGAGGCGTTCCCGCGGGAGCTGGGATCACTGGGGTGACCAGGAGGGGGGCAACAGGACTGGAGGGAGGGGCTGGAGGTGGGGTTGCTGAGAGGGTGGGGGATGGTGCGGGACGGGGCTCGGGTGGTTCTGTGTCTTGCATCACGTGCGGTGGAGCGATGGGGCTGTGTGTAATCTCCTCATGGCATGCTGTTTACTGGACGCTTGCACCTGGAACGAACGTAAAATAAGGACTTAACAAAGTTATACAAATGCAGAAACTGTCCTTTAATTATGTTTCTTTCAAAAATACAACATTTATTTTTCTTTTCCCTAGCGTAAAGGCCTCCGGAACTTTCTATTTGTTCGTCCACTTCTGGACTTTAGTCTTGTTCCAGAACTTAGTTTTGCATGCATATCTGTTTTACCGACCTGGCTTTTTTTTTTTTTTTTTTTTTGCTGCATAAAGACTGTTGGTTGCTGGCCTCTCGGCAGCATACACCTGGAGTTTCGCAGGAAATGCCACTAATTAGTTAGTCGATTGTTAAGACAAGATTGTCGGAGGGGTAGTGAGTCTATTGCTTTCTTCTCTACAATAGGGCTCCCGAACACACATGGGGATATATTTCTTCCACATTTAGAAACATTCCGCCGTGTGGGCTCTGGTGCCTTATTATGGGGGAAACAAAAAACAGACCCCCTACCTCCCCAAGGAGTCAACCAATTAGGAGTATCCTTCGAATACGGAGCACATCTGCCTTCGAAGCAAGGAACCAAGAGGTTGCACACAAATAAGCCCTATCTGTGTAACGAATGTGCACCAACACTCAGACTCTGGGACATGACTAACGTCGGGAGGTGGACGAACATCAAGAACTTTCCGCCGCAGTTCTCAGCCGGTAAACATGACGATAACGACGAAGGAGAAGGGGGAGAAGAGTGAAGAACATACAATAAGCTTTCTTACACTGATAGAAAGAAAATGATAATGTAGTTACAATCTGTCATTACTGTCTGTGTGTGCCACTCTACGACAGGGGGCTTATGAGCCTCTGAATTTAGACGCGGGTACAGTCGCCATAGAATGTGCTGGAGAAAAAAAAAAGCCATCACCCCAACGAGGATTCTCCTTCTGCTTCTTGGTGATCGGTTTCCTATGATCGGGTCATCAGAGGGCATGTCTCCATGAACCAGGTCGTCAGCAGCAGGTCCCCACAAATTGTCCTTCAAGCAGGATCTGAACCTGGGTCTCTCGAATCAGAGCCCGTCTATCTAACAGCCGCTCTATAAAAGTACAATAACCTTGTAAGGATACAAAAATATACCTTTCTTACGACAGAAACAATTAGACAATGACAAGAGGATCTATCAATCGACGTTTATCAGTCGGTCCACTCCGGGCTGGAGATACTGAGACTGGCTTGTGGAGATATTGTGGAGGTTAAAATATCTCAGTATGGACGGCAGACCAACGAGGCAAATCCATGATAACCTCTAAAACAGTTATAATTAGGGCACATGTAACGGCTACAAAAGCCAGATATATTCGTGCGGACGTCGACCTCTTTGCGTTGAGTTGTATACCATATGGTTAGCTCAAGGCCGTCTTCATCGTTCACCATGCTGAAATTGTATGTCTATATCGTTAGCCCAGGGTAGTGACGTCACTTCGAGCTGACGTCCTCAGCCCCAAGGCCCATAGTTGAGATGACTTTGGCTCGGTCTTTCCCCGTAGGATAGACGAAGAAATACCAAAAGTCAAATAGTTCCAAAACTTGGGTAGGTGAAAAAAGACTAAACAACAGATTAAAGCAACTTCCCGTCACTGAGCCAATGAAATAGCGGACAGACTGGCCAAAAGTGACACGGTGCGGTCAAACTGTGATTTAACCTACCTGGAGATGAAGACATTAGTAACTAGTTTCCAAGACAGGTGGCTAGATATCCACACTACATTTTCACCCCAAGACTCCCAAAAGAGGATCGGTGATTTATATTCAGACTAATGAGAGGGCACAACAGACTCTGCCATATTATGTTCTGGTTTTTCGTTATCGGAGACACGGAGCTGTATCCCTGCAATTTGGCACCTGGAAATACTGAGCATGCACTACAACACGGTATAGCAGCGGTTCTTAACCTGTGGGTCGAACAACCCTTTCACACGGATCGCCAAAGATCATCGGACAACACATATTCACTGAAGTTAGGAAGTAGCAACGAAAATATCGGAATGGCTGGGGGTGGCCACAACATGGGGGACTGTATTAAAGGGTCGTGGCATTAGGCAGGTTGAGAACCACTACTGTATAGTGTATGCCGCTTGCAGACAGGCCATCTGACCTGTGCCAACCTCAATCAAAACAAAGCTGTTTGGCTCACGAGGAAATCTGGACTGTACGATAGCCTTCATCCAGACTACCGGCCTCCTGATATAAGATTTTCTGACATAGGACGGAAAAAGAAGAAGAATAAAGTCACTGGATACACGAGGAAAGACTGAACAAGACTATTAACATTTCGACATACAGGGTTAGAAAAGTAAAACTTTATAGTTAGACAAGCCATACGCCAGATGTTAATCTTTCACGTTCAAGACACACCCAGCATCAATATTCATACGCGACATATTTTATCCCTAGGTGACAGCGTTAACATCTAGGCAGCCAATAATATCCTTACAAGCCCGTGTAAATATCCATACACTCTAGCATTAACTCCTTTGTTTGCTTAAGGTTTTGTAGAAAAATCATTACATTCTTCTTTAAATATTGCCACAAAAACTCTACCACTTGCTTTGTTGTAGGAATACAAAATAAATTAAAGATATCCCTGTGGTTGCCAGATTTATTTAGTCTGCACTGATCAAATTTTAAATACACGAAGACACTAGATCATGTGATGTTTTAGAAATTGAGAGACTAGTCAGCAACTCACTAAACGTTGTTTGGGACTGAAAGAGTTTATCTCCATATAAAGTAAAAGTACAGGACTTTTTCCCTGTCTTCGCCCGTACTGGACACATGGGGCCAGACTTATAGTGTAGAGACAAAACGGCACTTGGCGGGGGATGTAGTGGTCAACAGGTCATCAGGCCAGTCGCCGTGACTGACTACCCCTTTACACCCCCCCCCCCCCCCCCACCATTAACATTCTTGACATGTCAGGTGTCAAAGTTATATATCTATAACCGCCACATTATTATCCTTGCACCCCCTGCATTCATACACTCTAGTATTAATATCCATACACTCTAGTATTAATATCCGTACACTCTAGTATTAATATCCGTACACTCTAGTATTATTATCCGTACACTCTCACATTAATATCCATACACTCTCGCAATAATATCCATACACTCTCGCAATAATATCCATACACTCTCGCATTAATATCCATACACTCTCGCATTAATATCTATACACTCTCGCATTAATATCCATACACTCTCGCATTAATATCCATACACTCTCGCATCAATATCCATACACTCTCGCATTAATATCCATACACTCTCGCACTATTATCCATACACTCTCGCATTAATATCCATACACTCTCGCATTATTATCCATACACTCTCGCATTAATATCCATACACTCTCGCATTAATATCCATACACTCTAGCATTATTATCCATACACTCTCGCATTAATATCCATACACTCGCATTAATATCCATACACTCTAGCATTATTATTCATACACTCTCGCATTAACATCCACACTCCTTACATTAAAGTTAGTTGTGTATCCTATACAGGACGTTGAAGAACCAACTACAGCATTTTTTGGCTGTTGTGATTTTCCTAGGCAAGTTTACGTCTATTAGTTTGCCACTGCCTTCTGGACGGTCGGCTTCTCGATACCACTGTTGAAACCAGATCCAGCATTATTTAATATTTAAACACTCTAGCATTAATTTACACATACTCTCGAATTATTATTCATACACTCTAGCATTTATATACATATACTCTCGCATTAATATTCATACACTCTCGCATTAACATCTGAACTTGCTACATACAAGTATTATTATCAGGACCACCTAGCATTATTTAATATTCATTCACGCGATTGTCAACACGCGCAGTGTTAATAAATTAAAACGGCTGCGTGAAAATCTCGACACGTCGGCGTTAATATCGCAACAGACCAACGTTATTATTTTAACAAGGCAGTGTTAATAATTACATAAGCCATGGTTAATATCTCTACATGCCAGTGTTAATACCTCCATAAACCAGCGTTAATATCTCTACATGCCAGCGTTAATATCTCTACATGCCAGTGTAAATATCTCTACATGCCAGCGTTAATATCTCTACATGCCAGTGTAAATATCTCTACATGCCAGCGTTAATATCTCTACATGCCAGCGTTAATATCTCTACATGCCAGTGTAAATATCTCTACATGCCAGCGTTAATATCTCTACATGCCAGTGTAAATATCTCTACATGCCAGCGTTAATATCTCTACATGCCAGTGTAAATATCTCTACATGCCAGCGTTAATATCTCTACATGCCAGTGTAAATATCTCTACATGCCAGCGTTAATATCTCTACATGCCAGCGTTAATATCTCTACATGCCAGTGTAAATATCTCTACATGCCAGCGTTAATATCTCTACATGCCAGTGTAAATATCTCTACATGCCAGCGTTAATATCTCTACATGCCAGCGTTAATATCTCTACATGCCAGCGTTAATATCTCTACATGCCAGCGTTAATATCTCTACATGCCAGTGTAAATATCTCTACATGCCAGTGTAAATATCTCTACATGCCAGTGTAAATATCTCTACATGCCAGTGTAAATATCTCTACATGCCAGCGTTAATATCTCTACATGCCAGCGTTAATATCTCTACATGCCAGCGTTAACATCTCCACATACCAGCGTTAACATCTCCACATACCAGCGTTAATATCTCTACATGCCAGCCTTAATATCTTC